GCTTTTAACATAAAAGGGAAAGGCCAAGGAAAGGAAAGGACAGGAATAATACTTTTCCGTCCAGTTCCTAATTTAATCCAATTGTCCTTGTAATAAATTTGGCATTATGAAATATATAAAGATTCATTTGTTTTACAATGTATTGTACAAAGTTCAACTTATGTTTAGACTTTAACTTAAGTTTCCGTAACATGTATGTGATTTATAACAAGGCAAAAGCAATGTACATATCCAGTCTTTTACCTAGCATAAATATATATTTAAAATATCACATTCCACGAATTTCCCACATTGACATATCGTTCTAATAACCACAAACCGCAGTATACTTGTAACCAAAATACATACGGATATGTTTGGACTGTGTGCAATTGTTCTAATTTAATGCTACTATCGAATGTCTGTCCAGTGATCGACATTCAGCTTCTGTGTAAGAAAAGCTTCAAAAGAAATGTGTAAATTATTTTTTATTTCAATGTAATATTTGAATAAAAAAAACTTTTTCTTATATTTTAAATATTTTGGGTAAAAATTTCCGAACTTCTATAAAAAGATGTAAAATGAAGATTTTAGGTTAATGTGTTACATTTTGGATTTTGGTCAGTATTTTAAATTCAAAATTATTTTTTATAAATAAAACAAAAAGAAGTGATTTAAAGATGAAGAAAGTTAATCGCTAACAATATCACTTTTTGTTATTATATAATTTAACAGATACTTCTAGAAACTAAAGATAATTTTGAACACGAAGGTATTTCAAATTCCTCGAATTACACCCTCGCTAACCTTTATAGTTGTTATCGTTTTTCCAGAAACTTGTTCATCATTTACACAATGCAATCGGTTATTTGTTAATACAAATGTACACACTTCATTATTATCGCTACCAACACAAATTAAGATAATATGGATAATCAAAAGTACAGCTCTGTTTATTTTAAACAACCAAACAAAAGATATTTCACTGTATATTATTCTCGAAGACAACACAACACTTGTATGTCATAACACTTGAATTATATTGAAGTGATACAAAGAATAAACTTAGCGAAAATATTTATTTTCTACACTATGTTGTTTTAATTGGATACTGTCACCGATATCTAGTGTGAAGGTTAAGATTTTTCAAGTGTTTATGTATTATAAGATTCATTCTTTATGGAGGCTCGTAGTTTGCGCTCAGCTTTTTGTGCGAATATGCCAGCCGTAATAAAGTTTGAGACGCTTTGTTTTTTTTTTAAACGAAAACTTTGATGAAAGTTCAATAGCAGGTCATATTGTTTCCAATTATATTTCTAATTAAACTTAACAAACTAAATTATCCCGTGAAAATATTTTATCAAAATTGATCTCATTTCTTTAAACAGAAGTTAAAAAGTTAAGATTTATCTTTATCCCTAAAGAATTAAATATTTTTAAAAAAGAGCCTTTTTTTCGCATCATCAGTTTTCAAGGATTGCCTAAAGCACCTACTTTTAAACAATGTATTAGAGAATACTGTTGAAGAGTACAGAGAACATTCCACCATCAGGCATCGGGTGCGCACTTAGAATAACAAAACATTACGGTACAATTGAATCGATGCAAAATCGCCATCGTGCTTAGCCGTGTGTCCAATGAATAAACAACAGACGTTTCATAGTTTATTTGTACATGTTAAACATAAGTCAAGGCATATTATTATTGATAGTTATTACATTGTAACAATATTATACAAAAGATAAAATGTTTCAAGAACACGATTTAAACTAAATTTGCAATACAACAGAATTTGGTAACTAAAACAAAATTTTGTTGCTACTTCCCCGTTTTACGTCATTCGTAGAATAATTCAACATTAACTCTGACATTGAAATTATTCCAAAATATAAATTATGTATTTACAAGCTAGGGTCATTGAATAAGATGAATAATTCTACAATTCTTATGTACTCATTGTACATAAAGACGTCTGAATCGGACATTGCCAATGTACATAAACAGGTAAGTTTGCAAGCTAGTTTGAAGGACATAGTTACGTCTATATATCTAATATTTAACGACGTATAAGTTTTTATTACAAGCCGAGCCCCCGAGAAGTGTTACAGAAATAATAATACCAGTTAAACAAGTTTCAAGTTCACATTCAATGTTAATACGGACGAGCGAATAACAAAACTATCGGTGACGCCAACAAAAAAAAACCTTTTGACGAAACATTCTTTGTTTTAGGCGAGTTTTGAATTCAATTTCCGTTGAAATCCTTCCTTATTCTAAATTCAAATTACCGCCTGATTGTCGTTGAAGTGATACTTTCAATAATTTGTATAATAAGTACAAATAAACGAATAACGATGTTTTTTTTTATATTTATAAACTTAAATGTGATTTTTCTAGTATCTCAATACCCACAAAGCTTTGCATACAATATAATAATGTAACTGTGTTATATATAACAAAACTAGCTGTCGCCTGCGACTCCACCCGCGCTGTATTACAATAACTTAATTAGTAGTCTATATGTGCTACCAGACTATGTTCAACATCTATGCCAAATTTCACAGAGATGCACACAGCCGTTCTCGAGATACCTTCAAACAAAAATCCATTCATCCAAGCATTAGAATTGGTAATATTATACCTACAAATCCATGCTGATGACCATGGGCATCAATGAACACCTCGGTGGTCCCGCACTCGTTTGCCCCCTTCTCTTATTTAAAAAAAAAAACAGACGTAAATTGCAAAAATGTTTTATCTGACAGGAAGGAACAGATATTTAACTGTTAGCTACATACGGAGAAACAGACGTGAAGAGTCATTGAGCGGTCGACCGGATACATCTAATCGTCAGCTTGTGTGATATGCTGAGAGAATTGTTTGCTTAGTCTTTGTGACATTTACTTTTAAACTCGAAGGCACTTGGACGAGTTTCATACCTTTATTGTGCAGTCTCAGTTCATATTTTCTAAGGAAATATGTGACAAAATGAAATTAAATCGACAACAAAAATTACATACTTTATATGCATCCGAAATGGAAACTGTATAATATTTGACGTAGCCGTCGACGTATTTTAACGGTAGATTAAACAACGACGTATTTAAATCACGTATAGACCGTGACTCCGCGTAACTCAATATTATGCCGATAAGAAAGCATGGACCGGACAATTAGTTAAGGTGATGAACGTGTTATTAATCAAAATACAGCTATAAATATTATTGGCAAGTCATAACATTTTCAACCGTAAATTATTTTAGAATCAAAGCAAAGCCACGTTTCGTGTAATGATTATGGGGATGAAATATTGTAATTTTCATTTAAACCTTTTTTTTCTAAAGGAGAAATATCAATATTCAAAGTTAATATTTTTAGGTTACAAAATAATATCAAAAACATAAACAGTCATCGTCTGAAATTGCATAACTTTGTAATATTTTTTAATTCATAAGTGAGTGATTATCTTTGATACTTATTGTAATTATACCTTTTTAAATTTCGTAAAATATACAACCATGGCCAACTAACATAACATCCATCTGTAAATGAAAAGTGACTTTTATGAAAGTCGTTTCACAAAAAGCATACATAATATTACTATAGAAATTGATATCAACTTATTGAAATTACTCTCTCAAAAACAAATTCAAAAGTGAGTACAGTACTTAAAACTTATAAATTGAATTGTAAAGATAAAATATAGATAAGCTATTGCAATCATGACCTTGAACCAGAACGTCGTGTTGTGATTATGGATTATAGATAATGTGTTCAACATCCCGGGCACATGATTCAAAGCATATTAATAAAAACACTTAATTTAAACGTCGTTTTAGACAATTTCTACTGAAAATAGAAGGTAATTAATAAATAGAAAATAGACTTTGACTGTGTATTTTAACTATTTAATTTTTGCGTTCTTCTTATCGTGGGTTTACACTGTAAAAACATCTTGACATAACATATTACTGTCCCTTTTTGTCTCTTAGAAAAACAGATACAAAATACATCGGTAGTTGAAAGTCTAAGGTGTAATTGTAAAATTTTATCATAAATTTATTTCTTTCTATTTAACTGTGGCATTAATTATATTAATGCACAACTTAAGCCCATTATTTATTTAAAAAGTGTTATCTACCACATTTATAAATGTGACAAAAACTCAGTATAAAATTACATTGTAAAATGTTTTCAATGTCACAACACTTGGGTATACAAACAGCTTTTATTTGCTGTCATCAAGTTCCGGATTCTACTGCGTATTTCGAAACGTCATGGTCATTTTTGTTTATTAATGCTCATTACCATTTCATTGTTGTATCTGTTACATACGATGCATTTGATGCAACAAGCGAACAGTTCACTTGATTTTACCTACTTTTATTTGACTGAGAGTGTTGTGTGCTTCTAAAATAGCTCAAACTTCCTCTCTTATACCCGAACCCAATACTGGATCTTTTTTTTTAGTTACATATTTTAAATTGACATATGTTTTAAATTTAATAGATCCATGATTTAGATCGTTTCATTTTTGTCCACCGTTCCTTACATGGTTATAATAAAAATTTTAGGATCGGTCGAATGAAAGTCACTGGATGCTGTTAGCGTGGAAGATATAGGAAAGCCTTGTGTCCAGTGTTGATATTTTCATTTATACTATCTGTTTGTAATGTTAGATTAAGTTGTTTAATTCTAGATTTATATGAAAATGAATACGTATTACATAAATAAATTGAATTCAATGTTATTGGGTCAAACAAGTCTCCAAACCGGTATACGAGTCCATTCTTACATCGTTCAATTATAAATTATATAATAAGTAAACCAATCATTAATATTCTATTACCATTATATTTAAATATATTTCCATTTTTAACATATAAAAATTCAATTTATAAATATGAACTGACTAGCTTCATGTATTATCTGTACTTGTATAAAATATTTAATACGACTTATTAATTTCCTGTAATTTATACGGAAAAAATGCAATTAATCACGTATTATTTTCTATTCAGGTAGTTCGAGAGACAGGCAAAATTAATCAAAATGGTTAATGTGAGTATTATCCTTAATTATCAATACTTTATCATGCTGATTAAATAATAAAAGACGATGTTGTATTTTTTTTAAAGAAATTGATTTTCACAATTATTAATTCTATCTATTCTTTTTTTTTGGCTGTATTTATGTTCAAAATAAACTCGTTGTATAGCTTTAACATAAAACCTATAGGACATTTGACGTATTGGCGCCATTTTTTAGACAAGCTGGAATATGTTTCATTTAAACTTTTAACTTCTTTAATATTATAATTGTACAAAAAATAAAAAAGCAAATCGCGTTAGGCAAGTTTTTACATGATTTTATTGTGTACCAAACATTTTTTCTCCTATTCTTAATTTTTTTACCAATGTTTTTGCAGTAAATAAGTTAGTTAATTCTTTATAACAGGAATCAAATGGGAGTGCTTCTCCTCAGCAGGAGCTTGAGACATTCCTGTCTCCAGAAGAGAGGAATAAAGAGAAAATCGTCAAAAAGTAAGTTTTTTCGTTTCTAGTACTTGTTTTGAACTATTGAAATAATTCTCAAGTTTTACAATATTATAAAATTAGCCAAAAACCGTCTAACTGCTTGAATACAATTGTCCAGGTTTGTTTATAATGGACGTACTACAATTGTTACAAACCCTTTATGTTTCTTTATTATTTTTCACTATTCTACGAATTGCATCTGACATAGTGTTTAACATAACGCATGATTTTCTTTCTCGGTTGTCCTATATTTAGTTTTATCAAAGTGTGCCAAGGTAAAGTCGGATTTCGCTACGTAGATTTACGCAGTAATTATGAACTGAACTTTGAAAGGTTTCCCCGATGTTACAACCTGTTCCATATGTATCTTACCTTGGTATGTTCTGACATTGCTCTTTACTGTACATATTTTGTGCTCATAAAATTAAGCTGACGCGCAAACCTGTCTGTGTGTTCCTTTACCGAGAACAGATAATGTAAATTTATGTAAATATATTATTTAATTAAAGAAATTCTTTAATGTCTGCAGATATGAAATGACCAAAGATGCAGAGGCGGCGGATTTCGATCCGTTCGCTGAACGAAAACTGGATAATCCCACTTCGTAAGTATTGACATTTAAATATGTAAACATTCAGCCAAAACATCGCGAAAACCCAGTTATTAAAGCTAACTGTTACCGCGTAGGATCACGGTTCAACAACGACCTATTAAATTTTTAGGTGTTATTTCACGACAGTGGAGGGCTATACTTGTTTTGTTTCTTTTTTTATAAACATTGGCAAATTTTTGTTAATTTACTAATATCTAGGCTTGTGCTAGAATATAGATTACAACAATAGTCGAATGGCGGGATTCGAACTCTCGACCACGTGACCGGGAATGCATGTCCTTAACCTTAAGGCTATTAGCGCATTTGACTACCGCATGCTGAATTAACTTGATTTAAAAAGGGTAGTGTTTGTTGTCTTTGTTCGTGTTAAAATTATTGGTTTCATCTCATATACTGCGCAGATATACAACATGCATAATTCATCCTAAGTTACAACGCTGTATATACGGATGCATTAATTTAATGTAACTGCGCTCACAATACGACAGCTAAATGTACTCGTAACTGTCAGGTCCCACTGCAGCTACTTGTAATAATATCGCTATCTCTATTTTCCCAAAGAGTGTGTAAGTGACAACGATATATAAAAATACAATAGAATTCTGGGGTAATTATATTTGATCTATATTAATATTACAAAGAGGAAATACTTGATTGTTTGTTTGCATTGAATATGCTTCGAAACTACTGAACGTATTTGAAAAGTCCTCTATTGGGAAGCTACACTATCCACTGAAGACATAGACTAAATTTATTGATAGATTATTTTTTTAAATTCATGCGGACGAAGTCGCTGTATACTGCTAGTCTTGTATGAAAGCGCATGTCGTCATATCTATATAATATTTAAACTAGATTACGGTTAATATTGGAAATGTTTGATGTTATTTGAGTCACTTAACGTAAATATTTAGTTCAATGTCTAGATATTTCAGTCGCATTTATTCAACAATCAGTGCAATGCAGTGTGATAAAATGCTTATGTCTAATGTAACAACGCGAATTGCGAATATTTGGTTTTATATATTCCAGTAATGTTTGCTACGCCATATCTATGGTTGCGAATTAATTTTATATTCATTAGAATTAGAAGAAGGAGCGTCGATGGCTCAGTGGTCAAGCACTTGACTTGCAATCTGCAGGTCCTGGGTTCGAATCCCGCCATGTACCAATGTGTTTTTCGATTTTCGATTTACATATGTACATTTATCCGACGTTCTTACGGTGAAGGAAAACATCGTGATGCAACCTGCACATATCTGAGAAGAAATTCAAAGATACGTGTGAAGTCAACCAACCCGCACTTGGCCAGCGTGGTTGACTATGGCCTAATCACCCTTAACTTAGGGTAGGCTCCGAGCCCCTCGGTGGGGACGCATAGTGAGCTGATGATGTCATTAGAATTTTAGCTTCGAATTGATTAATTGTTATCATAACATTCTTCATATTTATATTTGTTCTACATTTTTACAAAAAGTGAAAACAAATGAATATATAATTATGAAAATGAACAGTTATCGCTTTTGGTAAACACTATTAAGTTGAAAAACATTTTTATTCTACACTTATTTAAATAATGTTTAAAGACAAAAAAAATCTATTTAAAGGTGCTTTGACAATACCAGTCAATAACGGCCAGTCGCAAATATCAATTGCGTTAATAATTACTTGTTTCTATTGCCAAATCATCTGTACCGTTATCTTTATTACAAAAAGAACTGAAGGGAAGAGAACATGTTTTTGAACAGATGTCCCAGTAGTGGAAACTGTAAAGATTATTAAGCATTAGAAGCTATATAGTGTTGACGATTTCCAGAAACATGGACACATTAACCCATCTCCTGAAGGCATCGCTTGGTACTGGCATCCTCGCGATGCCAAAGGCGTTCAAAAGCTCCGGTCTCATCAACGGTATCTTTCTCACCATACTCGTCGCGGTCATCTGCACCCACTGCGCTTACGTACTTGTAAGTCTTTTACATCATATCCTTCCTAAAACACTGACTAACAATAACCGTTTGCGAAATATTACTAACTGTGGGCCGAGGACGAATATTTGCAACAAGCGCTATCGCCAGGAGTAAACTAACACAAATAATTTCGAAGATGATGATAGTGCTTGTCACAAATATGATTTAGGTCCACTGAAAAATAATCGACTATTACATAAACTAGATTTTGCCATCTATTAGTGTATTTTCACACACTAGCTGAGCGAATACGGTCGCGCGCGGCTGTCTTTTTTGTAAAAAGACGATGCCGCGCTTGTGGAAATAGGTCACACGACTTCTTACAAAAACTGCCGTGTGCGACCAGCCTACAAGTCGAAATTGAATCTTAAGTGTGGATAACACATGTTTATTTTTTTAATATTAATATTATCCATAAAATATTTAAGATTAAATTAAATGATTTAATATTACTGTGTGTTGGCGAAAGTATTTTTATATGAAAAGAAGCGAATAACAGCGAATTGTTTTTGCTAAGCTACATGTATGATTGCTACAGTTGGATTTTAAATATTACCGAGATCTGATGTTAAGGAGTAGGGATTAATATTTCAAGTACCAGATATATCGCTTCGAAGTGTGTGCTTTTTACAATAATCCCGCAAAATTGAATCTACGATGATAAGATTTACTGCACTTTTGGAAATATTGTGTACTATCACTATGTATGTTTTTAATCACATATTATGTAAAATTACCTACCTTCGAACTATTGATTTCTTCAAGTAATATATAGCTTCGGTCTTGAGCTTCGCTTTGCGGTTGTGTGTCACCGGCTTAACTATAAAAATAATAATTAACATACTTCGTATATGCCTGTCCACAGATTAAATGCGCACACGTACTGTATAAAAAAACGAGAAGGACCACTATGAGTTATCCCGAAGTTGCAGAATCGGCGATGCAAAACGGACCGCAGTGGGCGAAACGATACGCATACGGTTTTAGGTAAGAATTATTTATAGTAAAAGAAGTTTTTTTTCGCATAATGAAGTAACATACACGGGCAGTTTAAAGCGATTGGCAGCACATGAAAGCTTCAACCGTACGACGTTCAGCAGCATTTATGAGCAGCGACAATACTGTCCGTGTACAGCGGTCCTTATAAAAATATATTTCTCTGACGTCTGAATAATTTCCTCTTGTTCTTATTTTAGATGAGACAAACATTATTGAAGCCAAAAATCTATATTTATTAATATTTATCGAATCTTTTGCATTTAAAAATATAGTTTGATTTTTATCATCGAAGGAAAAGGCACAGTTTGGATCGCTGCGACACGAGTTAGCTGATGGTTTATAATTTTAAACTTTCGATTTATTTATAAGCTATTTATTTGAATATTATTTTGTTTATTTCAGAATATTCATATTGGTCAGTCTGTTCATGACCTACTTTGGCACGTGCTCGGTCTACACTGTCATCATTGCCACGAATATATTAAAGGTAAATTGTCATTATACATTAATTAACATTTATTAGTGTTTTCCTTTCATTACCCTTAATATGACATAGCGGCGTTAAGTCTATCGGTGTATTGTTTTAACTGAGTTCACACTCTAAATTTATTAAAAACTAACGTTCTCCCGCGACATAGTCCGAACGGAATTGTCCTATGCTATCCTAACAGTGATTTTTTTAAAATCGTTTCAATAGTTTCGAAGCCTATTCAATCGAAAGAAACAATGAAGTTTTTCCTCCACGCAGATTAAAAAGTAGCCTATAACATGTCATGCATTAGCAACCTTCCTTTTAAAGTTTTGTTTTTCGGTATAACTAAATCAAAATATATTATTTACACGAAATCGTATTTAATATCGAATAGTCTGGAAGTACATACGGTACTAATTAAGGTTTTTTTTAATTGACGGAGTTGCGGGCGATAGCTAGTTTAGAATTATTCTAAATCAAAAGCACTTTGTTTTGTTTCAATAATGTCTTACTTAAAACTATTTCCGATCATGATACGATAATTAAAGTAGATGACGTCACGTAGAGGTTATCACTTTCTTTCTTTATTGAATGAAAAAAGTAGAAAACAGTGTGTTGCTCAGATCGATAGTCGCATGACTCATGGACAACAAAAGTTCGATTATCAACGATGTTTTATGTAGATGTTCCGTTGTTTCTATTAGCTAAATGAATGACAATTTTGTTCCAGATTGAGTTAATTAGGAGTAAAGCCTACCTTTTGATTATTATTTTGATTAATACATAAATATAATTAAGTATTGGTTAAAGTTATAAAATAAATTAATTAGCAAATTATTATTCAATAAAGCAAAACTATAATTTGTTTAATATTAATTTTCTTTGTCGTAGGTGGCGAACCACTATCTAAGTGCTGAAGTGGACCTAAGGGTGATAATCTTAATACTTCTACTGCCGCTCATCTGTATGGCTTGGATTAGGAACTTGAAGTATTTAGCACCCGTTTCTATGATCGCTAATCTTTTCATGGGCGTCGGTCTTGGCATTACATTCTACTATTTAGTTGGCACTGGAGGTCTCGAATTCGATAAAGTATCATATATCAAACCACCAGTTGAATGGCCTGAATTCTTCTCGCTGACGATTTTTGCGATGGAGGCAATTGGAGTTGTGATGCCTTTGGAAAACGCTATGAAGACGCCTAAGTCTATGCTCGGATTCTGCGGTGTGCTGAACAAAGGCATGTCCGGAGTTACTCTCGTATACATTCTCCTTGGCTTTCTCGGTTACCTACGTTACGGCGATGATGTCAAGGACTCGATCAATCTTAATCTAGACCAAGAAAATGTGTAAGTATAAAATTTTCAATATTTAAATTTACTTCCATATCCCCAAACCCAAAAGAAATGTTTTATGTAAATGCATTATATCGAACATTACTTAACACAGTAACGGAATGTAAACATAACAGACTACATTCAATAACAGCGTAGGTAGAGCTTAATGTCTTAACTTGACCGTGACACAGAAAGTCGTTCACTTCAACTACTTATTGTTGTTAATACTTTAACAAGACTTAACGACTTTGACTTTTACTGATATTACTTCCGTACAATATTTTATTCTTTTGGTTGTTATATATTCTTATTAATTGTTGATATGACTATTTTACTGTATATTTTGTGTCAATTTGGACGAATAATAATATTATGCAGATAAACATTCTTCGATTGATAATTTAATTGTCATACTTTAAAGACTACGTTTTTATATTTTTCAGGCCTGCCCAAATCGTCCAAGTCGCGATCGCCATCGCTGTGTACTGCACGTTCGGTCTTCAGTTCTTCGTGTGCATTGAGATAATGTGGAACTGCATTAAGGACAAGTTCACTAAGCACCCGGTCATGGCTGACTACGCGATGCGCACCGTCATGGTGACTGTATGTGTTCTACTCGCGGCTGCTGTTCCCACTATCGCACCATTCATGGGTGTTATTGGTGCCTTCTGCTTTTCACTACTAGGTTTGATTGCACCTGCATTTATTGAAGTAATCACTTACTGGAACATCGGTTACGGCCGTTTCCACTATTTGGCTTGGAAAAATATTCTTGTATTCATCTTTGGCTTTTTCGCACTCATTTTCGGTACCAAAGACGCAGTTTTTAGCATAATACAGGAGTACCAGTAAAACAGCACATCGGCCTGGTGTTCATAGGTCTGAGATACAAAAGTATATGTGTGATAGTTAGTTAGATTGTAAGGTTTAGTTTTTAGTTCAGTTTATTTTTAATCTTTTTAAAGCATTTTATAAGACCTTATTACTACACCGCTTTTGTGTGGTGCTGAAAATATGAATCAAATGAACGTTTTAAGATTTTACAGAATTATAACGTTCTAATGTGTTGCAGTCGATACTGTATGAGAGTTTTAACTCGGACCTTATTATTTCGTTTGCATTCCCAATTGTACAATATGATTATTGACTGTGTGAAAATGTTGTAATTTAAAAATTGAAAAATTTAATTTTTATCGATCCTATTATTTTTTAATTTATTACTAAGCACGACCAATACAATATTTAATAATTTTATAAAATATTATAATGGTCAGATCCAATTGTTATAATAAATTCATACAAATACATATACCTATTAATATTTCGCTGTAATTAACATACCGAAAAAAAGTTTAAATATTATTCCAATCTTACTCTATTTATTGATAAAGGTTTGTTACCTTTTTTTTTAATTTTTATCGAAAATCGTTAAATTTTATCTGGAATCATTGATGATTTATTATACCTCTTTAAATATTGAAGGCGGTCTTCATGTTTATTTTGTAATTTTCTATATTAAATTATTCCACGCCAGTTTAGTTCCGAAAGTATAGTAGAATAAGTAATATTTATGACAGAACAAAGTTTAAAAAATTCTATAGGCTAAACGATCGCCACGGTAACCGATTATTTTATTTATTCATTAAGAGCTTTCGTATAAGAGTCAAAGTGAATCTTCAAAACTATATTATTGCGTCCTCCGTACCCACAACGTTGAATCGTCGACGCGAGTCGTATATTTGTTCCGCCATTTTGAAAATCGCAGCGACTTTCCTCCTTACAATCTTGACAAACTAGTTGCAAGAGACTTGTATTGAGAAAATGTCAGCGTAGCAGTAATCGCTTAGTGACTAAAATATCTCGATTTCGAAGATTTACGTTGCCTTTTTACGATCGCTTTTAAAAATAAGAACAAATTGCAGATTATACTTTCAACATAATACCGATGAATTTGTATAGGAAATTAATATAAAGTCGCATTTATTGTTTTGAGGTTTGACTGTAAAAGACAATTAACACATATTGTCGTCTCTTACATTCTGTTTAAAAAAAAAACAGAGACAACGATATGTGCGATTACGCCAGTCGTAGCCCACAGTAATGTAACCGTGTAAATTGAATTTTAATATTAAATTTTGTATTTCTTATATTATTTATATTAAGTAATTTTCAGTATGGTATTTGAATTTTTTTAACATTAATCCGTATGCAAAAAAAATGTTTTTATATATTTCTAAATTTCTATTCAAATAGTATGAACGTGTTTGTTATATTACGAAAGCAATGTAAAATTCATAATATTTGTAACAAATCTGATACTTTCAAGATAAATAGTCCTTAAAATAAAGCTTGATTAGATAATAAATTGTTATCTTATAATATTATTAGATTACGCTTTATTTGAAGGACTATAGCTACGGACCAATAACGAAATAACCGTGCCTTTAATTAAATATTTGGTTTAAAATGTTACCAACAAAACTAGATATTATATACAAGGTATAAGTTTTATTTATAATAACAAAGTTCCTATAATCTAAATTTCATGTTATGTTATTTTATCAGGTCAGTATTCAGGACTGGAATAGCTAAGGGTTTTATTTGTAAAATACACTTTTCTTTACCAGTTTGCTTAAAATGGTGTTTTCTTTGTGTTATTCTAAGATATAAAAAAAAACTTAATTAGTAGCCTATCTGTCAATAGTTCTACATCCATACCGAATTTCAGCTAGATCCATGATGCCGTCCTGGAGATACCTTCTAACAAACATCTATCCATACATTCAAAAATTCGCATTTTTAATATCAGGCTTGTTTTCGGATCTATGAGTGACAATCCGAATATAAAAAAGATAATTAGTTTTTAGTGGGTTTGAAAGAGGAATCTTGCTTCCACTAATAATTATATAGCTACCTAAAGCCTATGTAAGTCATAAAAGTGACAACATCAAATCTACATACTAATTCTAATCGTCAATCGAATGGTAAAAGTTTGATTTCTGATAAATCTAACTTAAAAACTGATTTTTGCACAAACACATTATGTTCTTATTAAGAATTAATCCCACAAAAAACTAATCAGAGGTTGAAATAAATGGTCATTTAAAAATAATATGACGACTATTTATTTTTAATTTATTTAAATCCAATTATAACTATAATGAAGGAAATTGTTGTACTAAATTATAATATCTCATCGAGCTCTCCAGATGGCAGTGACATCTTTAAATTTAAAAATAAAAAACATTTTTTTTACTAATATCTTCCAAATTAAAATCGAACTCGGCCTATTTTTCGTGGGACTTCAACGTGAGTATTTCAATATAATTTTTATTTGTGCTCATATTTTGACACTGCAATAAATTACAAAATTCAACAAGCAAAATACTAGAAATAAAATACAAAATATGCTAACTTTAAAAACTTATATTTAGTTACAAACGAATGTTTTCGAATTAGGCCCTATATTTTAGGCAAAACTGTGATGTGATAAAAGATATAAAATTTTGCAACTTACCAAATTACTTAATTTAAATTGAAAAAATGGCACAGACCAAAAATATTTGGACGGTTTTCAACAAACCGGAATGAAAATAAATTTCGTAGCAAACAAAATATGTTAATAGTAAACATAATTTTTAAAATGATTACTTGAGTTCCAAACCATTGAATAATAAAAAAAAATCCATTACGTAGCAACTTAAATTTTAGTAAAATGCAATACATAGTCTTGGAGTGCATTGTAAGCAGACTATTTACTTTATATTACAAATAATTAAACTTTGTACATGCATTGTAATTAAATCATTCGAGGAAATTATACAAAAAAATACGATTACTGAATGTGGCCTAGTAGCAGGTTTACACGGTTTGATGACATCGATCGTCTGCGTATGCACCATGAAAACCCGCCTTTACATACATCAACTTATTAATTAAAAATAGGTCCATTACAATCCATCTCGTAATTTCTTTTTAATATTAAAATTATTTGAATACAATAATAAATTAACAGATTTAGTTTTTTCCTACATTATATTTGCATTATTTACCTTAGGCCTGCGTGAATAAAACAGCTATTCATGAATAAAATAATTTAATCTATTCTATCTCTATTTCCCTAACCGCCAGAATGGTTAACATAATCTTTACTAAATCTAACTGCACTTTTAAGACTCGCCGAATGACGGATTAACCGTGAAATTTCACTGCAGTGACAATTGTACACATATCGTTGTTTTATCAAAGATAATGAAAAGTATAACAATATGAAACTAAACAAGTACTAAGACAGTGGAAACCCACGGTTATGGTAACCAACTAAGCAACAGGTAAATCTTAATATCATCCTAAATCTACAGTTTAACTGACAATTTGCAACTTTCAGACAGTGGTCAACTTATCAGTTTTGATCTTATTACAAAATATGAACTTTTTAATTGCTATTGAAAATTTTATTGCCGAGTATTATTGTACTATTCACATAAAGAACGCGAACATCTTAGGTACAACTGTTTAACAATTACATTAAGCAAGCCGAATGCATTGCATTTACCCTTAATTTAATAAACAGCACTAATAAGCACAAATTCGCACGGGCGCTTTTTTAACGCCGCGTCAAAACTCGTTATTAGCAACTCTCGAGCGACGAACGCTTAAAAATCACTCTAATACCGTTCGCCAAGCGCTCAAAATACAACAAAGTGCGATACAAAGCACCACATTTTAAAAGCGATGCCGCATTGAAATGCGTTTGTTCTATTTGAACGCTTTTTTAACGCGCGATAAAAAAGCGCTCGTTAGAATAACGGCTAAAGGTAAATCATTGCTATTTATATTATGAGAAACCTCTAGGTTAGTTAGCACTGTCGACACTGTTTTCACAACAGTTTGATGACGTAACTAAAAAAACCTTTTTCTCAAATTGCTATTGTCTATTAAATCAAGGGCAGCCACAATTTAAATTTTCACTGATTTGCATTGCTATTGCTTGCTATATGTATAAAATTACATTCAAAAGTTTGTAAATCTCAAATCCTTTAAACTCGCGATCAAGCTATTATATTATAAAAGTTTCACAGTTCAACATATGTGACATTTATTCTCAAAGTTAAATATTACTTATCATTTGTTCGAGAATTTATTGGAACTTTTAACTTACAGTATAATCGATTCATAATAATATTGTCTATGGAAGTTGATCAACAGCTAGCTATCTAATTGGAAGTTTAAAACGATTGGTAATTATTATTCAACTACAATAAAACTCACTTCCTTTACGCTTGAGCAAAAAGTGAATATTATCAATTCCGCTGATTATTTATTGTACTTATTTACTTAACCAGACCTCTTATAAAGTAGAGAACACTTCAAGTTAACACTATAACTTCCAGCTAATCAAACTATCGTAACTACATTTAACAACGTTACTTAAGACCATCCAATGCTAAAATACCTTTCGAATCAAAAAAATATAGATCTTTTTATACTTTCCATCTCTTTCTTTATGTTATACAACGCGCTCTCTTCTATATTCTATATTCCATTGAAAATCTTTTACTATTTTCTATACTCATCTACGTATCTCTTTCAAAAAATCAGCTACAGTAAAAATGTCTTTTAATTTTAAGACTCTAGCAACCGACTATATACTATTAGAGATAGTTTAAATATATTTTTATAATAAGGTGGGCTTCCTACTTTAACAACAATTCCTTGAAACACCATTTGACCTGTAATATGTATTCTCGATAAAGCGTATAATTAATAAACAAAGCGATATGCAAATAATACTATTAATAGTACCGAAATCTATCACGCTACTTTATATAATAAAACATACATACATAAAAAAATCAATAACATACAAAAAACTGCACCATTCAAGTAAATACAGTAAAGATATTGAAAGAAAAGATGAAAAAAAAATGAATATGACAAAAAATCAATATTTATGGAAATCATAGATAATGTAGATGAAAGTTAAATTATATTCAAGACAAGAAAATCATGTTCAATTTAATTTAAACTTTATCTTGAGTAAAATTTAGAGGTAATTTTTTTTTAGTTTGGAAGAATGTAACATATTTTTACTTCATAATACGATTTTAATCTAAATGAAATCAAATTCAGTATAAAAATGATATACACTGAAATATTCCAGAAAAAAAAACACAAAAAATCAGATTCATCATACGTTTGAGATTCAATAATCACAGTAAAATATATTATTTTAAAATTTTTTCTTTTCAATTTTATATTTTTGCATATTGAAAACATGCGCTAGCGCATAAGATTTGACTGTCTCCTCCATTAGCCGCGCTAGAGCGTATATTTTTTATCGCACACGCATCATCGTCATTTTGTCAACATAATACTAACAAAAAACATAAAGGTAAGTATAGACTAGAACAATTACTTGTAACAGAACAACGAACCCTTTTATCATATGTTCTAGTGTATTAACCTTTCACACACGTGCCTTGGAAACTGTGTTTTTAGCTTTATTATACCATTCGTAATAACTTTACATTACTCAGAAAAGCTGTAGTACATTCACCTTTAAACGTAATGGGGCGCTAAGGCGTAGTAATAGCTTTATGAATTTTTGCAGCTTTTTAACAAATAAACTTAATTTGAAAAAATATAGTAGCAAGATAATTGCCGCTTCTAAAATAAAGTGGAATATCAACACAACTGGACAACTTTATCATGTTTCGACTACATTTAGCCTAACAAGGTTAATTCTCTCAAATTCAATAGCATTGCAACGCTGGCTTTTTTATATCGCAAAGCAACATTTTAATATTAAAATACAGTCGCAAACACATCTATAAAGAAAAATCGCAATGTAAAAGAAATTTTCCAAATGAAAAAATAAACAAACAAATTGATAAACTCTTTTTTGAATTAGGCGATAAATGCACGAGATGCATGTGCCTTAAAAAGTTAGTGTTAATTTTAAAAACAATAAAACTATAAGGTATTGAAAACTGAGCAACAGCTGTTATAAACGCCAGCAAGGAAGAGACATTCAATTCTAAATATTTCATATTACATTAGTAGAAATGATAAATACTAAGGTAACGTTTAGTTTTTTTACAAGTTTTTTCATAAACTATCCAAAGGGTACATAGACTAAAAGAGAAAAACACAAAGAAAGTAAATAATTAAAGCAAATCGAAAATCTTAACCAATATCTAACATTATGTTAACTTCCTCCAAAACTAGATGGCCTTTAAAATATATTAAGGTGGGTATACACTATGCACGTAATCTTTCCGCACCTCTTTAACATTTGACAGTTCGCTTCAATTTGTACTTGTATGAATGTAGTGTCAAATTATATTTCGAAGCAAGCATTTTCCAACATAGTGTGTACACGCCTTTAGAATAGAATGTATTATAGATGAGATGATATTAAATATACTTAACATAATTAAGCGCAAAAAAATAATGACGATAAGTTTGTGTGATTTAAGGTCTAGTTATTGCTTATTAATTGCTGGATGGAAATGATTACTCGTCTTCAAAACGTCATTGTCATTTTAACGACTAATATTAGCATCAGTCGGAATGTTTAGCAACCAGTATGACGCTTTAGTGCATTAACAAGATTTTTACATAATCGTACAACTAACATATCTGAGTAAAACATATGTACATCCGCTCTTATATAATAATTTTAAAGTTTACTAATTAGTCAACAAGGCAGGCTTTTATAATATATCTAATCAGTTTATAAATGTTCATATACGGCTTTTCAGCTAAGATCTACAGTAAACTTTGATGCTTCAACAAATATTCCGTACTTATAACACTTAAATCCAATGTAACATGCGGGTTTCTGGAATCAAAATCCCCGTTTAAAATATATTGTTATCTCTATTTCATCAAATATGATATACAGAGATTTTGATATCAAAAACCAACGATAAACGGAGCTAGATTGATATATTGAAGGCATTAATCATTCATTGTCATTTGTTTACTATAAATATAAATGTGCGTATGAAATATAAGATATGTGTGTTAGTGTGTCATGTGCTGTGTATGTAGTGTATAGCGGATAAATATATTTAGGGAAAAATTATTCATACATTTGGATTACATAATAATTAAAATCTGATTCAATATAAATTATATCATTAACGAATAGACTTAAAAGGTATTGGAATATGGTATATGAAAAGTCGAAGATAATTATATACATGAATGTATAAATACTTATTTAAGATCATACAATTCCGTATGAGATTCAATATAACGTTGGTTTATAATTCGTCCCGAGTCTACTACAGGTGTTAGTAATTCCTCCGAAGGTACTTGTATTCGAATCCTATTGTCTGTTTGTCGATTGCTGCCATTTGTTGTATAAAAGCCTAGGGATACTGGTTTGTGGTGTACTTCGTTGTAATTCTTCATTTTCGAAGGGCTGATTGGCTGGAGATGCGAAGGGCTAGCGGACAAAGGATTGTATGTGACGTGAATACGAACAACGTCGTCGGACATCGGTGACACTGACGGTGGATGGGGAGTGCCTCTTGGTGTAGAGTGTGCGGTCGACGGCGCTCTTTGGATGCTCATACCGCATATCCCCGACCTGTAAATATATAATGACGTAATCAAAAAATGATTCATATAACATAGCCCATTTGTAAGTGGAACCATTGTCACGCTAAAGGTTAAATGTCGATAGATATATTTGGTTAAACTTTTTTATATAAAATAGCATAGTACCGCAATCCCGCCTTATTATAAGTGATGATTCGCGCTAGTTTAGTACCCTCATATTTGTTGTAAGTTGTAACGTTGCCAATTAATGAATGAATTGCTATATCAATGACCAATTTAAATTATTTAGAACTAATTTTCCAATGTAATATATCTTGTAGGCAAATGCAAAAAGAAATATGCATTCTATTAGTCTTTTAAAAGGAAAGAATATAGCTCAATTTATGTTTTGCAAAAGTAAAAGATTAAAAAAGCATTAGCACATAATTAAATTATTTGTGCAAAGCTTGATTTTACTCATTAAAGCAAAAAGTCGTGACAATAGTTTACCACGTACATTATATGACTATATAATAAGCTGATGAAGTGAATTTGCTTCACAAAAGAAAATGCAGAGGAAAATGTACTCCAACCGTGGTTAAATTATATGTTAATCATCATATGACAGAGCTAAATGTGAAATATAAGCCTCCTGTTAGCTTTGGTAATTTATGTCTTACCGTGAGTTTATAATACGAAAATCTCTGCATAAAACATATCCCAGTCAATATCTTTGAAAAAACAGAAATAACAATATATTTTAAACGGGGATTTCGTTCTCAGAAACTCACGGTTAATAAATATCTAGGTAACATGTAAGAGTAGAATAACCATAGATGATTTTGCATTACCAAATTGAACAGGTCCAGAATTAATAATTTAAAAAAAAAGATTATTGCTGTCTTTTACAGAAACTGTGATATACCATTTTAGCAAATTACACGCATTATGCAGTATTCACCAAATTAACTTCTTTATAAATCCTTTCTAATTGCAGTAGAAATGTAAAACCATTATAGATAGGTAGAAATATTGTCTATTGCTTTAATTCACTAAGCAATTACTGTTTGATATCATATAACATCCGTTTTCCGTTTCATTTATAAATAAATTACGTAATTGATACGTGACTATAAAACATAAACAATCGAGTTAGTAGACTGTTACATTTTCATTTATACCACAAAGTGGTAAGTGACGTGTATAAATAAATTAATTTTTAAAATATCCGACATGTTTGATTGTAAAATTTAACTATAAATTGTATTTATTAACATGTAATGCTGATTATTAATTACATATTAAGTTAAAAGAAAAACAGAATCCGACTATAAATATGGTTCTGATGAGTAAATATTTTGAAGCGAAAAAAGCTATAATAGGCATCTATAGTGCTCACACCCTTATTATCTCGATTCTCACCAAGCAATAAACAATTTATGCAAATAACCTAACTCTAAATTATTATGGTAAGGATACACGTAAATTATAAATATAGAAATCAATTGCAGTAACACTTATCTCATATGGTCATCCCTTTCATTTATTTTAACAAAACAGAGACGGCTATCTCTCGTCAGTCGAATTCTAAATAATACGGTACCCATAACCATAATATTAAGTTTCCATGAAATATTAACATGAATGAATAAACAAATGATAATGACGATTGAGCATTTGTGTGGCGATCGCGGTTCTGTTTATAGCTGTGACTAATATAATCTATTCTAAAGGGTTTAAGCCAACAACCTATGTAACAGAGGTTGCGCCTGTGACGCATATGTGTCTGGTTCAAAGCGTCGCCAGTGTCGCAAACCACTCCTAGAACAAGATTAAATTTATTATTTAACTTTTTAAAAAATGATTTGAAAAAAAAGATTTAATTTTAATATGTTTGCAACGTTAGCTGTAAATGATAGATTAAAAGATGCATTTTAAAAAAACTAAGTGAAGTTAATAAAACAGGCCATATTTTTGTTATTAACGTAAATTTAACAGGACTATGCCTTACACATTTTTAGTTTTTTTCCTAAACCGCCAATTATAAATTTCCATGCAGCTTTTTAGATTGCTAATAAGAAGGTTTTTATATTAGTTTATTCAGATATGCTATACTTTCCCAACTGACGTGAATGTAATATTTAAGTATAATGTAAATATTTTTCATGTATCTCTGTCCTTTTGTTACTGGCTTGACCAATTTGAAATAGTAAGGTGTTACTCGTACAAATACAGTCAGTCAGGGTTTACGTTTTAAACCAGTGATTCCCAAAGAGGTCTAGATTCCACTGGGGACTTTGGAAGACCCAATGGAGTGGTACACTTGAAAAAAAATTGAGTGTTAGAGAAATTTATCAGTTCACTGAAAAGAGTGATTTTTAAAGGGTAAAAAAATTGGAAATCACTGTTTTAAATAGTTACTAATTTTTGTCATCTATTGAGTACATCTCACCCATCTGACCCTGTGCCGTCGTCACTGACGATGCTGTGGGTGTCGAGAGAGTTGTCGGGCGCATGGGACCGTCCGCTGGAGAAGACACTGAGGTCGGCGGTGCTTGTCACACTTGTGTCCGCCAATGAGCGTCTCGAGCCCAGGCCAGAGACAGAGTCGCACGGCGCCCCGCTTGCCACCTCACTGTGCTCTGTCGAGTTCACAACTTCATCATGTTATATTACTGCTTTTTAAAATAACATTAAATGGACAACTAAGTACGTAATCAATTCAGCCATCCCTAAGAAGTAGGCTGTAGTACAACCACGATACATTTGTTACATTTTTTTTAATTTTATTGTTTTTCAATTTCACACAGCTTATTTTAATGATTGTTTTAAAAAGCATGAATTAATACTTTTCTTAGCTTTTCTTTAAAGTAGTATGTAAATTAAAACATATTAAAATTGTTTCTGCTTGTATCGTGATTGTTCAAACAATGGTCCAAATGATATGATATGTATTAGATAGTAAAATTGTTCAATATTTTTACGTGGAAAATTTTACAATAAAAAAATATACTGATAGCATTTAGGCGTTTGTAAATTTTAAGTGGTGGTGATATGTGATTTTAAAGTAAAAGTTAAAACAAAGTTTCAATTATCTACATTATCAAAAACGTATTATACTTAATATAAGAATATCAAGTTAATTTTTGCTTAGACATTGAATTTATACATAAGTATACACCTTAAGGCTTTCGTTTTTGATAAAAAATAGACTATTTCAATACGAAATACGAAAAGGTCAAGAGCTTTCAAACCTTGTCGTGAATCAAAAGCTTTGTCGAAAGCTCTTAGCTTGATATTCTTGGACACAAACTTCCTATTATTCAAAAATATTAGAATCGAATAATACTACAAAAAAGGCTAGTGATATGTTTCGAAAGAATTTGAAAATATGACTTACATTCAAAAAACAAAAACAGACTTACTGCCTTTAAAAGACCATTGACGCCCTACAGAGTCGATACATTTTAACGTATCTAGACTAAGGACTTTTTAAGTGATCAATTTAGTTAGAATGCGCTATTTAGACTTAGATCTATAAAAAATTACATTTACTTGTATGGAGGAATGTTGAATCACTTACCTGTTCATTTTCAACGGGGTTACGCGCAAATGCGCAAACATGTAAAGCAAACATATCATATCATGGCAAAAAGCTCACATGCATATCAAATGATAGAAACAAATCAAATTATTAATCTTCTTAGTTTATTCCTTATTTACAATTAAGTAACATATAATTTTTTAATTATTTTTTTCTTGTGTTTGAATTCTGGACTTGTTATTCTGTCATGTTTGACGAGATAACTTCTCGATTGGATAACGTCCTTGATATTGGGACTTGGGATAGGAGACTCCAAATGGATGTCCATTGAGGCTTGGGATGTACGGAGTGGGGCGCCACACGCAAGGTTTTTGTCTGAAGTAAAAATTTATTCAATAACTAATATAGTTTTAAGAATTAATTGAATTAATGGATGTTAATAACAAAAAGTTTTAATAATTTACTTAAAAAGTTAAGGGTACTATAAAGTTGACTGACCTTAAAATTAAAACTTAAATAGAAAAAATTGCGATTATTAAATAATATATTAAAGATTTAAGGTGCACTAATGGTGTTTCATATATCTACTTTAAATATGAAACATACCTAAAAAGTAATAAAAACTTATTTTGTATAGAATGATTCTACTGGTGTCCCCTCACACCACAACAGGCGGCAAAACTAAAATTAAAACAATACTTTAAGCAATTGTTTATGATCAAGCCATTTTACGTGAAAGTGGGTTACTACTTAAAAGTGTCGACAAAAATAAATAAGACTAGAAAATAGAATTTCTTTATATTTATTCAATTATTATTAACATACTGTATCAAATATGATATGTTCGATTTTGTTTCTTAATTCTAATGATGTTAAAATAAATATTTATGAAATTATATTTGAATTTATGCAATACAATGACATATTGTCAGGGATGGGTTTATGTGATAAATTGGTTGCCAAAATAGTTGTCAAGGTCATTAAATAACAGAGATTCGTTATTGATGAATGAATGAGGTAGTTAGAATGATGGTTAAGTGTTTATATTTGCTGTTAAAATGTGTTACTCAAATGACGATTTAGATCAAATATAGAATTTGTATGATACAAATTATCGATCAATATGTTTAACATGTGTACCAAAGAACGTCCATCGGAAGATGCAAAAGCTGTGTATTGATTCTCAAGGTCAATGGAGTTTTTTCCTCAATATATTCAAATTAAAACACTTTTTAACGTTTATATCCATAAAGATTTCTAACAAGAAAATACTCCAAAGATCTAAAGATGATTTAAAATTTGTGTTAAATGCAATTTTGCTTTGTGATACAATGACATAAACCCACCACTGTAAAACCATGCTGCAACACAAACTATGAACACAACGAAAATGATGTAGATGATAAATAAAAAAAAATAAGCATAATAGAGAATTTCGCTATCAGTATAGTTATGCTAAGAATCAGCCTTAGCATAAATGTTTGCGTATTATTGTAACATTCTGTCCGTAACATTAGAATCACAGATGTAAGAATTACTTATTTATCCTAAAGCCAATTTAACAATATACCAACTCGTACATATGTGTTATGATATTTAAACACATTATTTACATATTTTACTATACAGATTAGACTAATTTAATTTTTTTCATATTATATTTTTTTTAAAAGATAAATGTTATTCATCACATTTAGCAATTGATAATTATGTTATAATTAGTTAATTGCACAATAAACATTTTAAATATGCAAGTTTTTTAAAATTCAATTTCTAAAAGAGAAAAAAATTTCACCATTTGGATTATTGTGTGATAATTAAATGTTTATATTTATTGTGATCTAAAAAAATCATGATCCGGTTCTTTAATGAATAAATTATTGATTTACCTAATTTTCTTTGGAAATCAAAATTGAAAACGGAATTTCTATACCAGAAATAATAATAAAATTTGCTTTCTGCATACCACAGAGAGTATTTCCTGGCATATCTGCGACTAACATATTCTTCGGTGGAAGTATGGAAAATCCTCACCTCAATGGCAGTATAATATATAAATATTTATTTATAACCACTATTTGTACTTGTAGTAATCACAAAATGAATTAATGGAAGTAGATATAACTACATTTTGTCAAGTTTAAAAAACTGCAAATGAAACTTATGTTAAAATTTAAATTCTAAAAGCGTACTTGTGACAACATAACATCTATTGTATTATACTTAAAATGCAAAATAATAATCAAAAACAAATCAACAAACATATTGAACAATTGTCAAGATAGCTTCTTAAATAGAATGCAATTACACATTAAGTAATGTGAAGTACATTTTTCAGCATAACACAAATCTAATTAAATCAACACAACAGACATATAATGTAATCATTAAAAATAAATTTAGGAAGCTTGCTTAAATCATGCATTGGGGATCAAACAATTCTAATACTTGGTATAATAAGTAATATTAAAATAAAAACTTTTCAAGTCTTTCTAACTCTCACTAACATCAAAAAGTTTTTCTTGAAACTAAAATGAGCAAACTTTAGTTTCGAAATATCCTCTCTATTATAACACTTGCTGCATTTCATTTCTTATGTGTAATAAACCATTCTGCATTGCTATTTTTGTATAAAAAAACGTAATAATTATCAATTGTATATAATAATGTATAAATGATACAGCTATTTGTACTGCACACAAAGCAAATTCATTCAACACCTCATGTTACATAGCAGGATTAATGAAACACAATATGAGATTCTACTAAACATGTTAAATTATAGTCACAAAGATAAGGAAATAACTAAAATGTAAGCAATGTGTTATTCTAGGAGGATATCTCATAGATATGTGACATTATATGAAACAAGGCTATCATCAGAAGTGCTAGGTGTAGCATATGACTCCAAATTACCTGACACTGTGTCACTCTGCGAGGCTCGTAACACTTGTAAATCCAATTCAGCCTTTTCACGTCTGTAACAAAATATTTAAAATTTAAATGAATGTCACAAACTCGACAACAAATAAATTAGAATTGCTAAATATAATCTATTTCACCTTGAGATAACTGCCGCCCGAGCCTGTTTCTCCCTCTCGGAAAAATTTTCAGCACGCTGACCAATTTTAGATCTCTTGTCAGGTTCCACAAACATTCCAAGAGATCGCTTTGGTAATTCACTAGGAGGTGGATTTCCTGGATAATCGAGCTTTGCTCGCTTTAATTCCTCCATAGATCGTTCCAAGTGGTATATCACAACATCATCTTCATAGCCAAAATCTTTGTGCAACTTCACCTGGCAATAAATGTGTATTAGTTACATTTAATATGGTACAACCTTAATTTATAAACAAGAGTAATAGTTAACTTACTTGGATATAATTGACAATTAAATCCATATCATTTAACTTCATAATTGTCTTTTTATGCAGTTTCAATATTGTATATGCCATTGCAGTTATTACCCTTTCACCATCAAGAAGATAAATATCCCATACTCTCAAACATAAGCTAAATGGAACTCGCTCTACGAAACATACAAAGAACCATTTGAGAGAGTAAAGTATTGCATCCAAGCCAAACTTATCAAAATGTTGTTTCAGTTTTGGCATAAATTTAGTAAGAATCTTGTCATGGTGTTCCAAAAATCTGGTTAACTTAGGAAAACCTTCTATGTAAAGGCCGTGCATGGCATACCTCTTGTCAGTTAAGAGGACTGCAAGTGCCCAAAATGCATCTTCTTCATCCATATACATTAATAATACTCCAGCTAACCCAGACATACCTTGGCAGTAACCAACTTCGGAATTAAACATGCTGTATGCACAAAGCACATTAAATAAAGAGCATTGCTTTTCTGAATATCTTTCTCTGTAAAATTGATGTTCTCGAAATTGTCTATTTACATCAGAATCAATCTGCCTAACATCTGTTGACCAGGCCTTGGCTAATTTAAGCATTTTTTGATATTTGCCAATATTTTCTGATTTTATCCTATTGATATCTAATAATTTACTCCATACATTCATTCGTAAAGATAATGGAATGCCTTTATATATCCTTCTATGTAATTTTTCCTTTGTTGATGGTGAGTCCCATTGAGACAGCATCTTGATCCACTTTTTTTCTCTCTCCACTTCGGCATTAACTTTTTGTGGCGCCGTTTTTTGGGGCAAACGTTCATCGTGAATAAATCCATATCTGAAAATATTAACATGTAATTTCATCTTTTTTCACACTTAAAAAACCAAAACATTACAAAACACAAAACTTTATCTGTTTTTTTTTATATTTTGTGTAATTGATCTCTTAAATTATTGAATGAAACAATTTTATCTGAACCAGTGCTGTAGTCAAATGTAACTACAATATTATCATAAGTGATAATGTGGGAATATGTAAAATGAGTTAACTTCTGATGTCATCCATTAAAATTGAATTAAACACAGTATAGCATATAATAAGAATGTAAATACATATAATATGTGTATATATTGATGTGTTTTTTAATTTGATAATTAGATTAAAATCCTAACAGTAACCATACCTATGACAATTTAAGTAGGATATTAATGGCTATAGGTTAAGTTTATTTAACAATTTAAGTAATGTTCCAGTTTCTTATTAAGCTTTAAAATGTAGTACATTATACTGGTATTACTGTATCTAAACACATAACAAAATTGAATAGTAATATAATATGGTGAAATGACATATTGGATAATTTCAAAATGAGCAAATACTGATCCTAGAATTTGATTAGATTTAGATAAAATGTTAAATGTAATATAAGCAATAACTTTTTAAGATGTAAGCTGAATTATCACACCAATAATTAGAATATAGCAATAGTGATAAGAAAACTTGAGCAGTCATCAATTTTCATGCAATTAGGTCAAGTGGGTAAATTAAATAGTACAATGAGAGTTAACTTTTTCTACATGTTGTAAAAATCTATACATTTCAATGTACAGTGGAAAGTAAAATGCCTAGCTCCACTGACACTGTTTGGTTACAAATTAGAAAAGCTTTCACTTAACATGCCAGAATATTAATGGAATTACAGACATACATCTTGAGCCATTACTTTACAACACACAACTGCTATGTTGGTGGTTTTTACTCCAGATGTTTATAACTAATAAATTAATATATTGGTAATGTATTTTATTAAGTTGCTATGACACAATGTTCTATAAACCAAGGTGCTAACATATGTGTTGTCTATTCTGTTTATCATAGTTAAATATTCGACTACTACCTGTTTAGACTTATTCAATAAATATATGTACATAAAATTTGAATCGATAAAGTCACAAAAAGACTTACCTATCAGTTTTATGGTATTCTTCGAATTCAGGATCCTCCCAGGGGTCTATTTGACCGACGAGATTTTCTCGTCCCCGCTCATATCGCTCGAAGATGAGCTCCCGCTCCTCGGAAGCCCGTGACAAAAGTGCTTCCTCATTCATAACACAGCCTGATTATGCCACATTCCGAGATACCCGCAATCCACACTTGTTTAACTAACCACTGGTAATCAATGTCTCTATCACCCCTAGGCATACAAAAGGAACTACATCACTACCACTACATGAAATCACGTTTGTCTTTTACTCTCTCCTCCACTAACATTTAAATTTGATTTACATTAGTTGCAAATATCTTTGGACGCTATTTTAAACAATTTGACTACACCATAGAACCAAAGACTCCGCAGAATCATAGAAACACAGATAATGTATTTCTTAAAACAGAGACAACAATGCATTTCGTGCTAAACTAGAAAAGGCCTAGGTACTGATCAAATAATGTAAGTATTGACTGATCACTTGTGCTCTAATAAAAATAATAATTAAAACTTGGTTCTACCTTTTAGAGTCCGGAGAACCCTCTCAGCTTAATTACTCTATCCAAAACACATGTTTAAAACACGTAGTTTAGTCACAGTTTTTATTAAATATACAAAAATCTACCTATAGTAAATAAGGTATTTAAGCTCTTCCTCCTGTATCCTCTTAAAAATTTGGTAATTTGTGCAAATGCTTGTTGGCAATGATTGTCAACTTTAAAACAAGTACATTTTGCTCTTTGGTCGCCTAACTATATTTACTCTTTGTCAATTTCTGGCACCTCTTTTATATACTCTTTGGCACCTCAAAAAATATTCAATTTGGCATTTGCTTGCCAGCTTGGTGTTGTGACGCTGTCTACTTTCTCGCATTCTCCATTGAGTGATTATAGTTCCTTATTCGTAGTTGCAGTTCAAAGTCCAAAGACTTTGAGCCGTAAAAGCATTTAAAGTTTTACCCTTTATTTCAAGAATTATTAACATGAATCCCATATCAAAAGTAAGTAAATAATAGGGCAGTCTATAATAGTTATTAGTTTAATATTTATTAAATAAAATATTGAATAAATATTAAACTCATTCTTTACTAATCGATAGTAATTACTTAACTTTAACTAATCGTTGTATTAATATTTATTTATTGTTACGTAGATACACTAGTGTAAATTAAAACGACGATAACCTCGAGAAAAACTTCCTTTTGAGTTCATTAACCGTAATCGTCACACACAATAATTTTGATCCAAATATCTTGCGGACCTTTATCGGTACGAATATGGTAGAGTTTATGCTCTGCAATTTGCACAGTTTTCACTAAGATGTTCATTGTGTCTTGTAGTACTGTAAAATTTTTCATTTTTGCTTTTGTACTTTAACCTCTAGTATAAAAGTTGAAAGGGTCATCGCTTACTTATATACTATGACAGTTTTTAAAATAATTGTAATTACTTTCACTTTTAGGTTGTGCGTAGCTCACGCCCCATCTATAAGAAACTCTCTACAACTGCTACTCTTGCTGCCCCAAAACCAATTCCTACCACTGGACTTTGCTTTGGTATGTAATTTATTTGCTCTTAATATGTATTTTAGTAACCATTAAAGGGATTGCAATCACATACTTTATTGCTATTTATCGAATAACAAGTTACTCTTGCACTTTGAACAACCTTGAACCTCATATCTTGTTAAATGGTTTCAAAGTACACTACAATACTCTAGAAGTAAGCCTTTTAAAGAAGTGATAATCTCAAGAGAATTATGTGAATGACATAAAGGGTAGTTAGAACTTTTGCAATCCTTTGTGCGGCTGTAGTTAGTTGTTAGTATTGTGCAATAAATACATAATAAGATATCCTTTAAAGTAACTAATCCCTAAGTAGACCAAATTGTAAATAAAATTATTGCAGTGTTTTAACATCTTAATGTTTTTGTTGTAGCTAATACATATACTGTGCCAACTTTATTGTTATGTTTGCATCATCATCATCAGCTCACTATACATCCCCACCAAGGGGCTCAGAGCCTATCCTAAGTTAAGGATGATGAGGCCATAGTCAAGTCTGTTTGCATACTTTAGATTAAATAGTTCTAGTTTGTTATAGTTGAACTTTGGAAATAATTGGAATTTTTATCTTACAGATAAGATTAATATAACTTTATTTACTTAAAGATATTATCAAATTAGTAATTGATTGTAAGGGTATTTAAAGAAAATATGTATTAGAAACATACTAAAAACGTAACTGATAAATGATTGAAATGTCCTTTGAACCGCTATGTTTTAATTACTACAATGGAAAGATACAGCAAAATTACCTTTGCTTTATCATAAAAATGATTCAACTTATTTAGTAACACAATAAGATTTAACAAAAAAAAACCTTTAACCTTAAAGTATGCATTTTATGTATTTTTTATCAACAATTTACATTTAGTTTCTTATTATTTATTTTTCACAACAATGAAGTTTGTATAGTTTTTTTCCCAAATAAATAAGATTTAATGTTATGTACTGTGGGAAAAAAAATATTTTAAGCTTGTAAATATCAAGTAATTTTATGTTTTATATCTTACTAATAATAATATAAATGCCAATGTTTGGATATTTGTTTGATGGTATCTCTAGAAAAGCTGCATGATTCTTGCTTAATATATTTTGCATAGCCTGGAAGAACACCTGGGCTATGTAGCATACATTGCGTTATGTTTGACTTGTTCACCTAACGACTTGTGCCGCCGGTCCAAAGGTCTGACATTGACTGACGCCCCCTCTCTTCGGCATGTACTTATGACGTGTACGCTCGAGACAAACAATACTACATTTATACATACACTACAGGCTGCTAATTAAGTTTTTTCATAGACATATATTTCTTGACAGATTACTGTATATTTTAATAAAGATTCTGAATATCTCCACAGAACTAAACGATGAGCAAAAGGCGCTGCAGGATCTGGCCCGTAAGTTCACCAAAGAAGAAATCATACCGGTTGCAGCTCAGTACGACAAGACTGGTGAATATCCTTGGCCGATCGTTAAGAAGGCGTGGGAGCTTGGACTTATGAATGGACACATCCCAGAGCATTGTGGTAATGTATTATATTGCTATATTGAACAGTTATTAGATTCGGTAATAAAGTAAGGATAAATCTTAGATCTTAAATATTATTCTGCTTTGTGAACATATGTATTATGTAATTTAATAATAATTTCTTAAAATAGGTTTTTGTTTCTATTATTCATTAAAGTAGGCTTAACTACAATGTTGGTGACTGTAGCATTGATAGCTGATTTTTACTCAACCAGGCTCTAGGTGTAAACTCCGCCAGTGGCGAATCTGCAAATGTTTAGTGCATAAATCTTAATGATTACTACTGATATATAAGTGTGGTAGTGTCAGTGTGTGAGTGATCTTACCTGAAGTACTTGAGTGGTTATTAACTTGATTTCTACAATACAACATTTGCAGGGGGTATGGGTTTAGGAGTGATGGAGTCAGGTATTACTTGTGAAGCTACAGCATTTGGATGCTCAGGAATTATGGCCGCTCTGTTCATCAACGATATCGGAGTGAGCGTAGAAAATTAAATATAATAATTCACATAAATTTTCTAATGGAATTAATGCTTGTTATCTATTATCTCTTTATGGTTTTTTTAATCCCTACTTCTGGATCGGTTTTGCGGTCGCATGAATAGGAATCTTTATATTTTTTATGGTCATAAAGAGAAAAGATGAGAGCCTATGGAAGTTGAATTTTTTTTTTAAAACAAAAACTAGAAAAAAATAAAAAAGTATTTTACCGAAAAAAAAATATAGTGCAGTACAAAGTATTCTTAAGATAAATAACTCTTATAGACATTTATTAAGATAACGTGTCTACTATATTGGAAAAATTTATAATCATTATATTTGCTCAAATTTGTTTCGTTAATGGGTAAATTACAGGGGGTATGGGGAACTTTGGTGTGTTTGATGAGTGTCTTTCGGCCGAAGAATTTGCATTCGGCTGCTCAGGCATTACTACTGCAATTGGAGGGACTAGTCTTGGAGTGAGTCATAAATAAAACAAAATTTTTAGCACAATGGTTGTAACAAGGCTGTATACACCATAAAAGGGGATATGCTTCTGTGTACATTTATACTGCTAATTCATACATTTTTTTATTTTTAAAAAACTAATAAGTACTGATGTTTAATAATTAATAATGTTAACACTAGATTGTAATCAAATATATGAGAAATTATTAAATAAATTTGGATTTTAATAGCTTCCATTGAAACTGAAATTTAAATAATAATTTATTTTACTAATATAAATAGTAAATATAACTGGTTATAGTATATAGCGAGATATTTACTTTGCAAATGTTTCACCATTATGATCATCTTACTTATATGTTTAATGTATTCGCTTTATGTATTATGCCTTAGTTTCATGACAAAAATATGCAGCCAAACGAGTTCCATACAATTCTGTTATTTCTCACACTTGAGTTAAGTTGTTATTGTTCGTTGGAATACTGAAATAGTTAGGTCTGAATTTTTTTAATCGTTTTATTCGGTTGTTTTTAAGGTGCGATAATTTATTTTTATACCTTTGAAATACAAGAAATTTTTCGTATGTACGTTTTTTTGCTTGTAGCAATTGTATAGTGTTTTTACAAAAGCAATAAAAGGCAACTTTGCCATAAGGCTTCTCAATTGTCTCGATAATTAGAAACTTTGATAAGAAAAATAATCTTCTTTTCTATTACAATTCTAATAACTTAACATTTTATGATTGATTTTGAATCATACCATGTGCACAGAATAGGGTTGTGTGTCAATATCACCCATTCTAGAGGCCCTCACGAAACTTACAGGTGGCTTGGAACTGGGTGTCTTTGACGGATGTATGGTTGCTGAAGAATTGGCGTATGGTTGCACTGGAATAATGACCGCTATGGAAGCTAGCGGTCTAGGAGTGAGTTGCATGCAGAAACTTACCCGCACAATATGAAATGCACCAATCTAATCCGTTGCACTTAACAATATTTATTTGTCAATGAACTACGTTGCGTATTGTTTGGTTTCATGAAATTCTATTTGTGTTATAAAATATTTTTTTTTATAATAATAAAATGTTTTATGTTGTCGGTGGATAATATTTTGTTTTGCTCAGATTGTCATATGTCTATTTATATATGTTTGTTTATTTGTATTTGCAACTTAATTTCGTGCACCGTTGTGTTGTTGCATGAGAGTACTAACATGCTTTTTTTGTGTGTATGTTTCTGTGTTTGTTGCAACTTGCATCCAAGGTATAACTATTAATATGTCGAATAAGCAGGACAATAAAATGAATAACGCCTACTAATTGTTTTAATTGATTTTTAACTATTATATTGTTATAAATATTATTTTATAAATTCTGAAATTGTTAACAGCTTATATAATATGGATATTATTATTTATGATACATGAATATGCATAAATTTACTAAAGTTTATTACCTGAGTCTTCATAACTCAGATGAATTCACCAATAATATAGTTAAAGTGATTTAAGAATTATTTTTGCTAATATAGCTTCTTGAACATAATAGTATTGTACTAGAACAATATTTACAGATTATTTATGTATATTTTACAGCAAACCCCAGTTATAATCGCTGGCAATAAGGAACAACAAAAGAAATATCTTGGAAGACTTATTGACGAACCTCTTGTTGCTGTAAGTAATAAACATGTCAAATTATCTTTAATTTAGTAGTAGAGGTATGTTATTATTGAAAAACCAATTCGGTAGTTTAACAAACCGAAGTATAATTATCTAAATACCTACTATTAAGCGTAGGCACAATTTAGTTAAAAATCTTATTTTTTCTTCCTTACTCATCCTGTATATGGTGGGTCTGCACTTTGTAAACAGATGTACAAAAACATATTGTGTTCACTTTCATTCTCTTTAACAAACTGTGGATTAAAGAACACAGCATGGAATGTTTTTAAGACTAATTAAGTCAAGTAAGAGATAAATGCAGGTACTGAGTTCGAATCCCGCCATGTACCAATGTGTTTTTCGATTTCCGATGTACATATGTACATTTATCCGACGTTCTTACGGTGAAGAAAAACATCGTGATGCAACTTGCACATATCTGAGAAGAAATTCAAAGATATGTGTGAAGTCAACCAATCCGCACTCGATCAGAGTGGTTGACTATGGCCTAGTCACCCCTAACTTAGGGTAGGCTCCGAGCCCCTCGGTGGGGACGTATAATGAGCTGATGATGAAAGAGATAAGCAATCAATGTGACATATAAATTCAGGCGTACGGTGTAACTGAGCCCGGGGCAGGATCCGACGTTGCTGGCATAAAGACTCGTGCTGAGAAGAAGGGCGATGAATGGATTCTCAACGGTCAGAAGATGTGGATCACCAATGGAGGTGTCGCCAACTGGTATGTTACAACTGTCTAGTAAGGAAGAATGAGATGGAGATAACATTCTCAGCTTTGTATTCTGTTTGTATCTCTTTCTCGTGTGAAAATAAAGCAAGAGAATGATTGTCTAATCTTTCCTTCTATCCTCTATGTAAAAATGAAACACCTTCGATTTTATTTAACTTTTAGACGTTGATTGTTGTGTTCACTTTATTAGTAACAAGACCATCGATGTCTCTATTCTCGACACTTTAACATTTTTTTTATATTTATAGACAATATTTTTCCTAGAAGCATCTTAGTAACTCTATGATAGTTCATGCAGACTATTTATGTGATTTTTTCCTGCGCAGGTATTTCGTCCTGGCTAGAACCAATCCAGACCCGAAGTGCCCGGCAAGCAAGGCTTTCACTGGCTTCATTGTGGAGAGGGAGTGGGCTGGAGTCACGCCTGGACGCAAGGTAATGTAACTAGAGGCTATTCTTAATTACTTTGTATAATGAAAACTTTGGCCCGAGGAAAGTCGTTCGATTCTTGGAGCTGTAAGATTATCGCACTGTAATTTATTTTTTTAATTTGACAGGAACAAAACATGGGTCAGCGCGCTTCAGACACTCGAGGCATCACTTTTGAAGATGTCCGCATACCAAAAGAGAATGTCCTCATTGGGGAAGGCGCTGGCTTCAAGATTGCTATGGGCGCTTTCGACAAAACAAGGCCACCGGTTAGTTAAATAATCTACGAGTTTCACTGCGCTAGTAACATTCTTTTACTTTAAAAATTGTTTATTTGGAAAAATTCAGGTAGCAGCTGGCGCGACGGGACTTGCTCAGCGCGCACTATATGAGGCAACTCGATATTCTTTAGAGCGTAAGACTTTTGGCGTTCCCATCGCCCAACATCAGGCGGTCGCGTTCCTCTTAGCAGACATGGCGATTGGCGTTGAGACGGCTCGCTTGGCGTGGCAGCGCTCCGCTTGGATGGTCGATCATGGTAAAATTTTAATTATAAATTAAATTGGCGTCTTTAACTTGCCTTTATTTACTAATTATCTACTGAATAATGTAATCATTTGACGCCGTATCCAATACTTTAGCGATGAATCCAATCCATTGCTGACTTATCCAGCGGAACTATGCAGGCTAATTTTTAACGATCTTTAATTATGCAGGTCAAAAGAACACAGTAATGGCATCAGTGGCGAAATGCCACGCGTCAGAGATCGCGAATAAGGCGGCATCTGACGCCGTACAAGTGTTTGGTGGAAACGGATTCAATACAGAATACCCCGTAGAGAAGCTCATGAGAGACGCCAAAATATACCAGATCTACGAAGGCACCTCCCAAATCCAGAGACTCATCATTTCCAGGGAAATTTTGACAGCTGCCAAACAAACTAATGCGTAATTCATTAAAATATTTGATTTTTAATAACGTTTTTAGAACATCGTTTATTCTTTTAAATCTTTTCTCTTTACAATAAATAAATTAGATATAATATTTTGTGTGGTGTATAAAAATAAAAGCTCGAGAGGGAATATATTTTTTAAGATTGTACAATTTTATAAATCATGTTGAATTGCTTATAAGTTGGTTCATGTTTTGTAAAATTTGTATTTTTGGATATCTTACTAATCATAAATAAAACCTTTTTCTAACTTTTTTATTTTATTTTTAATCCCGAGTATATTCAATTTTATTACGAACTAATAATAATAAGTTTTCTATATTCGATTTCTAATAATAAATGCATCCCACGTTTCTCGGTGATTATGTAGTTTTTAAATGGCAAAAGAATCTTTGAATTGTTACTAGTAGTTATACAAGTTTATTCTTTACAAAATTAAAGTACAAATCATTCGTGTTTATAATAATACTAGCTGTCACCCGCGGCTCCGACCGCGCGGAATTAAAAAAAACTAAATGCCTAGCCTAGTAGTAGCCTATGTGTTCTTCCAGTCTATATTCTACATCTGTGCCAAATTTAAGCGAGATCGTTCAGTCGTTATAGAGATACCTTTAAACAGACATCCATCCATCTAAACATTCGCATTTATAATATTAGTATGATATATAAAATTCCCGTGTCACAAAGTTAATTATCATCCCAAACGACATGACTGATTATGAAATTTTATATGCATACTATTCTATAGGTCAAAATCGGCTACTATCTATTTTTTAATCCTGCGCGGACCGAGTTGCGCATATTTGTATTGTAGTTATAGAACCTGCGATCGATTGGTTAGCTCAAGGACATCCAAAATGAACTGCGAATTACAGGCTATACGACATCAAACATAGTTCTCTATTATTTACATTGAAAATGAATGAGACGTTAAAATTTATACAAGTATTACGACAATGGTAACTCCGTATTGGTGTTACAGAATTTTTAATCAGGATTTAATTTATTCCCGTCATCATTCAATTCACAATGGCCACTAATATATGGCGAGCTATGTAATGGCTTACATCATCTTTACATTAACAACCTCTTATCAATCACTGGTTAGAATATTCATGTATTCGCAATACTATTATTGTGATCTCTAAGTAGTTTTATTGAGGCATATCATGAGTGATTTTGAGTGATCTTTATACGGAATAATTGCGTTTTCTCCAAAAATTGCTGTCACGTCATCTCCTAATTGTCGTAAAATCAAGCGCCCGGAAAAATTATCAAATTAACGATTTGAAATATTCTTCCAACCATTTGGAAATTACTATAACTACTATCCGGGGGATTTTGTTTTTATTCCAAAATATTTAAGAAATATGCAGCTTAAATCTTACTTATTATAAATGCGAAATTCATCGAATGGATGGATGTTCAAAGGTATCTCCGGAACGCCTCACCGGATCATGATGAAATTTTTCAAAATTTTAGTCTGGACGAACACATATCCTACTAATTTATTTTTATTTCCACCCGAACGGAGACGCGGGCGACAGCTACTACCAATGACAGGCATAAAGAAAGTAAAATGATACAAAAATATAATGCAGTAATACGTATATTTCAATGAAAGTTCTAAGTACAACGATAATCGGTTCAACATTTAATGAATACATATATTGAAGCTTTTAATCTAAGACTAGAAATTAAATGCAAACACATCGATCTTAATCTAAAAACAACATTCATTGCAAGAATAAGAAACTGGTACACTTTGGTACTACTGACATTTATAGAGAAAGTATGGGACACGTAAGACAACAGTAATTCGCCGTAACATATATTACGCTTCTATTACATTATTAGGTAAAATCTACAAAATAATACAACCGAATTACCAAAGCACCAAAACAATTTTAACCTTAAATACAAAATACATATGTATAATTAAATTATATTGATATAATTAAAATTGCATTATACAAAAATAAGGAATGAACCGACATTACGACATTATCTCAAACAATATTGTGTGGCGGACAATTTGTATATTTTATACATTAAATACTGTGCATCAATGAGATCAAAATTAAACTTTCACTTATTTATAAAGGATGTGTGTTATTTTTAATACTTTATTTCCTCGAATATAAATCGATTATTATGTCATTAAAAATTAATAAAAATAATTCTCTCTTTAAAACTAATTAAAATAATATCTATCAAATCATAATAAACTAAACTTACTTACTTACTTACTATATAAACGTAAATAAATAAAAAATAAATAATAACTTTATCCATAATACAACTTACAATATACAGTGGAAAATATGAGATTTTAACTATTTTACAATAATTGGCAAATTAAAAAAAAATATTATTTCAAAATTTTAGCACATCGATAGTAAATAAAATACGATCAAATCGTTTTAAGCCATCATAATAGGCGCTAATAATAATTGCAAAGCTCATTACTATTTCATAATCTATCGATAACATTAAGAATTTGATACGAGTGGAGGTTTATAGACAGATGGGACTTAGAAAGCTATTCCTTAAGTTTAAACTTTAAGCCGTAGGAGAGAGTCTAATTTAAGTCATGATTATTTGATATATAAACATCGATGTAACACCAATTAATTTAAAATTCTAAATTTCTTGATATTGAAATAAGTTATGATAAATCGTAATTACCAATAAGATGTTAGTATTCATCTAATTTTCAAATAACTGTTGATTATATTCGTATAGACATTAATCTTATAATATACATAATATAGACACATATACACATAAAACAGCTACAAGACGAGGTAAAATAAGTAAATATATTTAATGGTCATCGTGGAATGCATGTTGATCGTCAGAATCATCTTTAGGCTCGTCTTTTGACCAGGTGCGTGACCGGTTCTTCAGAGGTCGCTCGGTGCGAGGTACAGCCTGTCTATTGTTGGCTTTCACTGGTTGCTTTGAAACTTTAGCTGTTCCATTTCCATCATTGGTTACTTTAGTGACAGCTTTAGCTTGGCTGGATTTAGTCGCTTTAGTGAGGGATCCACTCACCTTATGTACAGTCTGAGTTTTTGTTGCTGAAGGTCTGTTGTAAAGGGCAACAGCCTTGTCTGAGCGGTTCACGTGGTGCTCGCATTTCGGTACCGATACGGTGAAAGGAACAAGTCGGCTGGAAGGACCGGCCATCTCTCTGTGCATCTGAGCAGATGATCCCCTCAGCGGTGAGGTACAGAATATACGTGTCTCAGAATGGTGAATCTTCAATGAACCAGATTTCTCTTTCATCAGTTGGTTGTTAGGGCGCGGTTTTATCAGACCGCTCGTTTTCTTCGCAGGTTCATCGTGTTTCTGCTGTGCAGTGTTCGATGACGATGCAGCAGGCAAAGCTCTTGCGGTTGATGTACTGGGCATATTTTCAGAGCCATCGTGATGTCTATTTGAAATCGACGAATACTTATACGTCGGCAGCTTAGTTTGTGGGAGTGTACCTGTGTAGAAAATATTTATTGTTTTAAAATACATAATTAGTGTTAAAGACAATATGATTATCTTTATGAAGAATATGAAGAAAGGAAACTTACGTTCGCCAGGTTCTTTCTTAGTGCGAGACGATTTTGTGTACGTTGCATACATGTTGTTGTCATTAGCAGGTTCAGGTGCGGGATCAGCAGTCTTCGGGCGCGATGTTCCGGCCACATTGCTGCGTGACGACCATTTCCCTTTTGAGGAATCATTAGGGCTGGAGTTTCCCGAAGAATTATTTTGTGCAGCTGCTCCTTGAGAAGGAACTTTCTTGTCAGTTTTCGCATTTTTCTCCATTGATCTGGATCGCCTCTTGGGGGACAAGTTTTGACGAGGTACAGCGCCTCTAATATTATTATCACGTTCCTCAGTCAGTTTCTTCTTTAATATGTTGAACTTTGTCCTTTGCTCTTGGGCTTTAGTTGTGCGCACAGCTGATGTGCTGGTGGTAGGTGACTTTTTAGTTTCCACCGTTTTGTTGGCATTCAATTTGGATAGTGCCGTCGACTGTGGAATGGCCAGTTGAGGTCGGACGCTTCTCGGGTTTGAATAGATGTCTCTATTCCTCACCGGTCCAATGGGACTCAGAGCTTCTTGCGGACTAAGCAAACGCAACTTTCGTTTGACTTCGTAGGGCAAGTCTTTATACGCTTGAGTTCGAGTCAATCGCGGTGATGCGTATGCCAGAGCGATTTCACAGCAGTGTTGCCAGTAGTTGCCATAAACATACAGGATCGTTCGAGGTTCGAATCTCTGTTCATAAAGTGCGCCGCTGTCTCCTTGCTTCTCAATCAAGTCACCCAACAAAACGTATGTGCGGCAAAGTTCCTCTCCCGGCGCCCTTTCGATAGCACTCTTCATGCACTTCTCTAGTGAACGTTTGGCCGAGCTATGGGCATCGGCTGATAAAGGTGCCAACTCCCTCATTAGAATCTCGAGGTTGTTCGCAGCATATCTGATAGCAGTTTCCATCACACGGTAGCAGTGCCGCTCCAAGTTCTTAGTCCATTTTCTGCTTTGCAGCGCAGCCACTTGAAATAAAAATATGGCTTTAGTATATTTATTACTTTATCAGCAAAAAATTCCCACCATAGAGGAAACATATGACATACACATAAAAAAAACAACACATACTTGTAACACCTAATCCAAACACTATACCATGGAAGGTTTCAATTGAGATGTGTTCCAACAAAGCTCTGACACATTTCTCCACCAAGTAATCATTCATAGATGAAAATGCTTTCGTTGGCCACACAAGAGGGAAAAATCTTGTGATCCATTTCAGACATTTATGATATAGATCATCCAGCGAATACATCGATGAGAGATGGAAACTTTCAAGTATACCCGCAATACAAACTTCACAAGGCTGGAAGAGAACACACTTTATAATATGTTTTTTTTTTCATCTTCTTATAAAGGTGAAAAAAAAATAAAAGTTTAATAATTATTAATAAGTTTATTAATTATTATATCTGAAACTTACGCTATGGAAGTGATGACAATATTTTGTTTTCAGATAAAGCATTATTACTTCTTTCAGCCCTTCCAGGCGTAGCATATCGCTAAGTGTTACAAGTTCAACAATATTCATTGTACTTGGTATCACCGATATCCCGGAATAAATGTAGCAAAGAACGAATAAGAATACTTCTTGAGAGAATCTGGAAAACGAAAGGAATCATTTATTTGCTCCTATTTGTACATACAACAACTATTTATGTACTTACGGTGGCATAACAATAACATTGCCTGTGGCTTCAATCCGACTGCCACTTAAGATCCCAGCAAAATATTGACATCTTGAAAAAAATCATAAGTTATAATAAGTAAAACAAACATTATTTCACACTAAGAAAATTTTTGTAAGAAATTTGAAAGTATAAATTGAATGCGGTGTTATAAACCTCTTACCTAGATATTAAGATGCATTTATGTGCCTTGATTCGCCTTCCACTGCATTCAACAATAACATCAGGTGCTATTTCCTCAATAAACATCCTCAGTAAATCTTGTCCTAATGGTGATTGACAGGACGCCATCAATTCATACAATTTACCCAATTCCTCCGCGGATATAGATGTACAGGTTTCTGTCACTGAAACTTTTTTTTTTATTTTTTTAAATTCATTAAAAACAGTTATATAATATGTAATGTAATAGTATTCCTTGTTATATGGATGGAAATACTTTTAATCAAATTAAATTTAAAGGTGTTTTAAATTATATTTAGAAATAAGCTTACCAGTTGTTACAGCAACAGTTGTTTGTTCATTGGTTGCATATGGTGTCAGTTCATCCTCCCAATCACTACAAGCCACTGCGTTGTTGGAATAGTTAAGAGGTCCTTGGGATCCAGGCATACTCCTACTAATCAATTGATCTTTCAAATGAGGGAATAAACGATTCAAGCTCAATGCATTCTCAGAGTGGAAAGAGCTAACTATTTCTGTTGATCTATATGTAGACGTGTGACTAACGCGCCAGTTATTCTCTGGTATCGATCTAGTCATCCGTACATCCAATCCTTCACTTTTTCTTTGTAAGATCCGAGTAAAATCGGTTTTCATCGGAGGTTTGTCTAAATCGGAGAGCTTCACAAACAGGTCTGAATGATCCTGAACATTTTTCACTTCCTTGACAACACTTTCTGAAGCCATCTCGTCAGGATTGTAATTTGCCTCCGCCGAGGGCTCGGATTTTTGAACAAAAGCTGTTTGCTTTTCGGATTCCATTTGGTTATGTATAGCAACAATTTCAGAAATAGTCAAAGAAGTATCCTTGCACAACATCTCGCAACTTTCAAATGATGCTGTGCTTGTTTGTTCAATCAATGATTTTTCCTTCGTATTTTTCCTTGGGGGAAATAGAGATGAAAGTCTTGCAGGTATTTTCTTCAACTTTGATTTTTCTCCCAAATCAATAAACATTGAAAACATATTTTTTTTCTCTGACTGGGTTTCAACAGTTTTGGTGTCCTCGGTAGGGTTTGAATCAGGTAAACTGGAGAAATCAATGTAAAATGTATGACTAGATTTTTCTTGAGCCACTGGTATATTATCTATTGTTGAATTATTTTCATCATTGTTTATTTTTTCATCGTTGGTTGCCTTTTTCTCTTGTAATGGATGTGAAACATTTATTGAATTATGTGGGGTATCAGATGTTTTTCCAAAATCATTTGAAGCATCAAAATGTTGTTTAAAATCATTTGTAAGAGAAGAGGTATTTTTATGGTTTTCTTCAAGTGATTTCATTTCGACAATTTCATTTGAATCTGCTTTGGGTTGTGGCTTGGTATAATCATCAGTGCCATCACACAGACCATTTTTACCAGTCTCAATTTGACTGCTGGATGGTGTTTCGCTTAGAACCGGTAGAAGAGAGTCAGATTTCTCAATGTCTCTCTTTTTGTAATTGTCATAATATTTTAGATTTTCTTCAATTCCTATAGTCTCATCTTCATCCTGTAAGCTAGCAGCATCTATGAAACAGGAACCAGATTGAACTTGTATTTTTTGTACCAAGCTTTGGGAATTATTTTCCATAAAATCAGTGATTTTTGTCACAGTATTCTGATTGTTAGATTGTCTTTCTTCAGATATAAACTGCTCGCATATTGCCTTTTCGCCTATCTTTGGTGGAAATATCGATTCCCAAGATCCAGTTTCAGATGATACAGAGGATGATTCCAAATTAACGATCTCCTCATTTTGTCGTTGTTTTTCTTCTTTCGATGATTGAAGATCCATTGCTCGTACCGACGACCTCTCCTCAGTCTGTCGATACGCAACTTGTCCACTACTAGTTTCAGTAGATGTACTACTTAAAGACCCCTTGTCTGACTGGCCACTAGCATATTTATATTTTGACACATTGTTGTCATCGGTTGGATTTGACGAACTTAACATTTGCTTTAAGTCATCAGACGAAGAGTCTTGTATGGCACTTTCCGTTAAAGATAAATCAGTCAACGTGATATCACGATGACTACTTTGGCTTTCTAGTAGTCCATTCTCTACACCAGAATCTGATGGTGTAAACGTGCTATCCATTTTTGTAAAGGAATCTCCGATATTATTCAGAGGTTGGCAAATGGAAGAATATATTCCCGGTGGACAAGTGTAAGTCGCAGATAAATAATCTGATGATGAACTAGGTTCGTCAGTTATCAAACTGTCTGGCGTGTAAGATGGTTCTATTGTTTTATCAACCACTGATTCACCATTGCTCAGTGTTTTCAAATCATTGTTCAAATTATCGACCAATTCGTCAGTGGGTATACTACATTTTTTAAGAGAAAATGTTTCATCCAGTGTCTTTTTCACTACATTTTCGCTTTGATAATAAATATCTTCAAAGCGATTGGAATCAAAAGTATCACAACTGTTGGAATGTTGAATAGTTTTAGTTGTATGGCTAGATGTAAGAGCCAATGATGTAGGTTTGTTACGTGGTGAAAGTTGCTGCTTAATAGTTTCCTTTGCCTGGGCGTTGATCATAGATTGAAATGCATTTGATAAAGCATCTTGTTCTCCAATTTCTTGATCAAATGTATGTCCGTCTATTGGCACTAATGCATAATACTCTTTAGTCAATTCAGTGTTTGGGCTCAACGGATTTCCCTTCAATTCTTGTTCAGGAAAAGGACTAAGACATTTTGGTGTCAAAAATATTTCATTTTCATCTGGTAAATCGTCCTTGCTTAAATAATAAGCATCTTTTTTCTCAAATTGTAGATTTTCTTTTAGATATTGAAGAATTTCAGCTTCTTGATGTTTTATATTGCATTCAGTATAAACATCGCTGAAAATAAAATAAACACTTAACAACACTGCTTTGTACGCTTAACTACTCAATAATCTACAATAACAACAGGTTTAAGAGACAACAATAGCTTTTTTTGAAGAAACAGTAGAACAGCATGCTAGTTAGTAAGCAAAGATATCTTCTGTCTGCATGCATCTTCAGGTGGTGGGCTTTTGTAGTTAACGGTAAACTAGTCGGCTGAACTACTTGATATTTATCTCTAACTACTATATGTAAAGCAGTCAACTACAAAGCCAGATTGTTATTTTGCTTACCTTACAAATGAATAAATTTCATCAAAGATACGCTGGTTAACATTGACATGCAAAATCGTTTGCAGTGTGTTATAAAATGTATTAGTACGCGCTTTTAGTAAACATGTATGTGTGAGTAGTTTTTGTTTGCCACAACTTAGTTCAAGGTCTGAATAAATTGATTCATCAAATATTCTATAATAAAGAAAATTGGGTTAGTAAGTAATAAGATTAGTCATAAACACTGTTAGTAAAAACAAGTCTGAATGATCTCCAATTTGCACAACACAAAAGCTACAACTCCACTCCACACATTAAAGCATATAAGCTTTAATGTATAATTATAATTTAACTTCTTATTTTCATACATTCACTATACATACAAAACAATCTTCTCATTCAGCACTCATAGTCAGGCATCACACATTTTCTTCTTTCACTTTCCATTTCTCTATTAAACAATAGCTGTATTTCTTAAACTGCTGTATAAAAATGGTTGTAAACAATTTAAACTACTCCATGATAACATTTTCTACAAATATTGCTAAATTTGACCATAAAGTCTTAATTGCTGCCCTTGCTAATGCAAATAAATAAGATTTTGCATCTATTAAAATCCTAAAATTATCTTCCTGCATGATATGAAAGCAAGATATAAACAAAAGGAGTGAATGAATAAATGTACACCCTAGGAAATGTAGCAACACTAACAAGGGGACCCTAGATAAATAGGTGTACCCACCATAAAGGTCAAAGGGTCAGAGACATTTAATTCATTCAGAAGATGTTTCAGAATCTTGAAAATTTAGGGTGAAGAAATTACTAAGAGCAATACATAGAAACTGCAATTCAACAATTTCTGCAGTATAAAGAAAACTCTGCCAGATTTGTAGAAGAGTGAAAAGATGCAAGGAAATATAACATTGTTTCACTGGCAAGTCCTCTTCAGTTGAGACAAGGTTTAGAGATTCCAAAATTCCGAAGCTTCATTCCCACTCAAATCCACTTGGAAAAGCTGCCATATGTTGGCCATAAAAAGTTTCTCTCGGGTTCTTCTCTTCAACATGGACAATTTCCATGGCTACTTAGCTCCCTGTACCAAATTTAGGTCAAAGGGTAGCTATTGAACCTACCTCGCAACATCATCTTCAAGTTGCTTCTGCAGATAGTACTCCAATTCAGATGCTTCATCAGAAGCTGACGTCCTGCACGCCCAGATGGGCTTTAACCCTCTATCCATTATGCATATCAAGAATTGAGCAGTAAATCTTTAAATATACAACCAAAATAATGATCTGGACGTTTTGGAGTTTGTGTATACAGAGGACTGAACTACCATGAAATATTTTATAGGATAAAGCAACAAAAACCCAAATTTAAATATCAGAATAAGATTTACATTAAATTTGATGAATTGTGTAGATGAATAATATGTTAGTAGAAAAAAGAATCGACTGTATTGATTCTATTTCCTACAAAGATATACTTGTTACATATTCTAAATGTTTATCAAGTTGACTTATGTGTTGATGAAGCATAAGGTTTTAAAATATCTAAACCAGAGAATGCAATAATATTATTCACTTGTATAATTTATAAAATTCAAGTGAATTAAATTTCTCAACGCTAAACATTACCCTTTGATTAACTTAACTGACTATTACCCTTTGCAAATTGTAATCTCCAAAGCTTAGGGTGATATATTCCAGAAATAATTCTGCTAAAGATTTTAAGCAAATTTGCCTAATATCTAATAAGAATTTCTGAAGTTTTCATTTAACATATTGCTCCAAGTTAAAATCATCTAATGATTAAATTAAGAGAAGTGTATTATCACTTTCAATAATAGATATTAAAAAAATAAAACTAGGAAATTCTTTGCAATGGCCATTTTGTAAAACCTTGCTCACAGAATTTTATGAAGATGAATGAGCAAGATTTTCCTTGTAATAAAGATCTAAACTTGTACCAGTCCATCTATTTAACATCAGATCTCAAAATAGTTTAATTTAAAGGAATTGCTTAAAAATCGATATTTCATACAAGAGCAAAATGAGGCTGATTTTATTCGTAACGTGAAATCCGCGACAAATAATTGTATTGTTATTAAATCATTTTGCAAGATATTGCCGACAATATGTAACAAGTATTTGATATAAATCACTATTATCGAGATATTACGCGAAAACGAACACTTTGAGACGCAGAATTAAAAAAAAGACAGGAAAAATACAAGCTCGAAACGTAAATCCAAGGAAAGACGTGCCTAAGAAGAATCCATTAAGCGCAATTCCAAAATCCTATGTTTTTGATAGAAGTATAGTATATCAGTTACTAAATATGATTGATTAAAGTATAAATACAGAACAATAAATTACAATATACGTATAAATCGCTACGAAATTCACGGTACCACAATGATATTTAATACTGAACTCACGGATCGATCGCCGCTGGTTTCTATTCTTTAGCGCCGCCGCCGCCGCCCGCCGCCCGCAGCTCCCGTCATAAAGACGTAGAGAAGTCAGCCCCGTGACAGATGTAGTACCAGATATTGCGTATTGGCGTCCCTATCGCTTATCGCAGTACGCTTTTCATCTTTTCCTGGAGGCAGTATATTGCGCGCATGCGCAATTGTAGATTATCAGTACCATTTTCTTTTAACGAATATAATTTTTTCGATTTGTCGACTTCATAAAACATGTAAAATTCTAAAAGCTACTTTTATGTAAAGTTCATTAATTAGTATACTACTTACTAATTTATCTACACAACATTTTGTTCTCTTATCAACACAACATATGTTCTTTATTATTATTTATTTATTATAAAAAGCAATTTAACATTAGTGATAAATTAAGCCTCGTATTCCAAAGAGTATATAAAATCCATATAGTTGATTGTTCGCGGATGCGCTTTATAAATTCTTGTGTCATTTATTATTTTTATACTGTGTTGAAAGAGACATTGACATAAATTTATCGAACAAATGTCAAATGTCGCTATTAACTAATGTCACGAATCAACCGACTACAAAATTAAGTATTTCTGTGCGTTTTGATTTTATAAAAAACTATCTGCGATAACTAAAAATTGTGACCTATCATTTGCTAGATAATATAGGGGATATTTACCTTAAGGTTTTCTTTAATCACTTGAAAAAATATTGTATTACATTGATTCATTCAACTTTGACTCAAAACACAAATAGTACAGAAGCTCATCCTCCTCATCAAGATGGTGAGGATGGAATCGGTTACTATCATCGAAAGAATCCGGAAAGCTTATAAAGATACGTGATTCGCTGTTTATAGGAAAATTCATTGTCAACTACAATTGGTTCGATATTTATTTGTTAACAATATTGATAGATATTTTATGTTAGGAAATTCCCGAAACTTCAATATTTGAAATAAGGTAAACCAAATACCAAGTTGTATGTTGATAATAGTTGAGAAATCAAGTAAATTATAATGAAATAAAACAAGTCTATTAAACACATCGATTTATTATTAATAAACACTTAATAAATGTTGAAACTAACAACATACAGAGGATCATTTCATCCACTCCTTTGCAATAAACATGTTAAATCAATAAATAATCAAGGAACTTAGAATAAATTAAGGTATCTGTTTATAGCACAATAATTCATCTGACTTGGTAACTATTAACTAAACTAAACTGTACACTGATCACATTTTCAACAATGACTTTTTAATAAACTAAAAACAAATTTACAACTAATCAAAATAATATGTTCTTAATACTAAATATAACTTAATTTAAATGTTTGTACTGAAATTATAATACCATTGAATAAATTACAATGATATTTCATTATAGTGCCGGTAAAATATGCATTACCACTGTCAAAACACTGGAATAAATAGTATTTTTACTCACTTTTTTTTTCATGTAATAAAGATAAAAATATGTTTCAATATAAGAGTAATGGCAGTGGAATTTCACTGTAAAGAAACTTAAAATTTATTTGATATGTTTGTACCAAATTAATGACTTTTTTTTAATTACATGTCAAATATGTCTTGTATTGAAAAGTTCAAAAAGTATAGACCAACAAAGTTATCTGACCCTGCAAATCAAACTAAATTATGATAGCTCACTGGCGCCCCCCAGCCATTGTCAAAAAAGTGTCAAGATCCTTTGTGTACTATATACTATTAAATGTTTTCAGATAAAACGAATCACAATAGGAGTACTTTTCTTAACGGCTCAGATTATCATACTATAAATAGAGACAATGTTTTTTAATTGAAATATTGCAGTACGCTATGAGTAGTGACACTTGCATGACTAAAATTATCATCCTTCTCATACCCTTTAAAAAAAAAAACAGAGACAACAATATATTAAAAGAAGTGCGGCAATCGAAACCGGCATTTACATTAATAATAACATTGATTTGATTTCTATATCTAAAACAAAATTTTTACTCTAAAATTGCATTTTTATTTTTATTGTAATAAGATGGCAGCCTACGATTATTCTCAAAGTCACATCTATAATTTTAAATGGACAGATTAAAAATTTATATGATATTCCGAATGCACACAAAAATTATGACATATGAATATATTTTCAAGACTGTTAATTTATTTTTAGTAAAGGTGAATGTGAAAATTTAACATTAAGACGTTATTTGTTAATTTGGATGAATCAGTGGAGAAACTACTGTGGAATGTTTAAACTGTAATAATAATAAATGAAGTAACCAAACATTTAAATAGATTTTTGTTGAAAACATCAGAAAAAATATTTACAAGCTAAAGCACAAAAGTCACCTGAATTCTTAGTTAATTACGATAAATACAATGATTAATTGTTTTTTTTAGTCCAAAATTAAGTACTTAGACAAATATAAACAAGCAATAATGACTTATGTAGCTGGAAACAATCCGCGCAGTAGAACATAACATTTATCACTACTATTTACTGAGAGGTTGGAATAAGTTATTAATCTTTATGTATAACATTTCAATATCTACGTGGGAATTACCGAAAATCTTAGCATATTTATTTAACTAACGACAGAGTTATTAGAACAAGACTTAAACTATTGATACTAATCTCAATAGAAACTAAAATGTTCGTTTCGCCATCCGGAATGTGATTTGCAAACATTCGTGTAGCTCACTAACCTAACCTAACCTATTATTAACAACAAATACAGTTAAAATTAAATTAACTCAATAATACTATACAATAAATTAAGTACTTAAACAATATGTAGGCAAAAAAGAACTTTGGCAAAAATTAGACATTTTTAGGCCCTTTATCTCAATTGTTTTTAGTAACATTTTGTTGTATTATTGTGAAACAATATGAAAATTAAAGAATACTTAATATAAAAATGAATAAAATTAATTAAAACAAGTCGATATTATAAATTTCTTAGGTAGGTGCTACACAACGTGTTTGCGTGGACCTTAGGCAGCAGTCCACGTAATTGTGTTTGCATTTTTTGTAATTAAAAATAAATCGTACTGAAAATTAATAAATAACTCTTTGGCACCTAACCTTTGGCTCGTAATTTTATTACAGAGCGTATCTGTAAACGTAACTTTTTAAAACAAACCTTTCTGTGAAATATTCTGTAGGATTTAAAACAATTTTGATTAACAATTTAAATCAATTGAGCACATTCTCGGGTACGATTAACAATGTTTATAAACAAATTACTTCAAGTTAAAACATACATCACTATAATTCAATAACAATAATTTAGAAATAACCATAATTACGTATTTTTCATATATTAATCACACATTTACATTGATTTCTGCGACTCAATATAAATTTGTATGCAACTTGCAAGAAAAAAAAATGTTTCTCATGTCAAGTGTAATGGAACAGATTGAAGTGAATTCATATTAATTTTAGATACTACTACATAAACAGCTACATCTACGACTTATCTAATATTTGAATAATATCAATTTTGCGTATAGCCCTGTGTTTAACATGAGCTCATATTGTTCTCGCCATAAATATTGTCTCAACATACGTCCCGCGTCTTTATAATTTCTAATCTCAATATTGTTCTACGTAAAAAATTAAATGTAACAGAACGTCGTTAAACGTAAACAAATAGATAGATATATGAATTATCAAAATGAGACATTATCGAAATAAGGGTGTAAAATAATAGATTTTTAAAGAGCTTAAAGATCGGAAAGAATATCTTGTAGGAGATAAAGATCGACGAACCGTTACATTTTATTTTTCAAATCCCTAATAAAATATGTGTCATACTAATACAGTGTGTATCACCTGGCAGCATAGTGCCACAGGTAATGACTTTAAAATTATATGTTAATTAACTTTATCATCATTTCAAGTATACTTGACGTTAATACAAGTATACTTTTTGATAATATTTAGTTAGAAGCTGCTTAGCCCGGAAGGGGAGACTCCTCGTAGAAGTCTGGCTCGTCTTTGTCTATTTCTTTCTGGGCGCCGTCCAACTGCAAATGAGATATAAGGTGATCAATCACGTGACTATAGTCAAGGTTTCATTTAAATTTAGATATTTTTAGCGCTAATTTTAAAATAGAATATTTTGCATTCGTTGCCTTGTAATATGTTAGGTAATTGTCGCGCATGTTACCGTGTTACATTTGTATTCAACGCGTTATATTAGAAATAAAACCAATACATCAGAATTATTTTATAAATGTTAAGAAATGGCTAAAAGCATTAAAGCGATTAATGGGTAGAATCTTAGAATGAAAGGTCTTATTTAATATTAAACACCTTATGTCAATCATTCATCAATAATTAAGCATCATAAAGTTTTGTCTAAGGTTGGATATCTAGATAACTAAAACATAAAACTTCAACTCCGTCAGAAAGAAATCAATAACAAAAGATACCGTTTACACTTGTTTATACGTTCGATAGTAGATTGGGGATTGGATTTCCTATAATTGACATTATAACGTGACTTACAGCTCGGAGTTGCAGAGGAGTGAAGATGTAGGTTAGGGCCATTCGCAGCGGCACCATCATCACCAGGAAGAACGGCAGAGCCAGTGAATACTGAGAGCTCTTCACCAAGTACAGAAGACTAATGCCAGCGATCTGTATCAGTGTGAACAAGTGCATCTTCAAAGTCGGTACCTGAAATAATAAGATATGATATAAATACAAATTTCATATTAAAAAGAATCTTACTAATATAAAAGAAGCGAAATGTCTAGATGAATGGATGTTTGTTATAAGGTATCTTCAGAACGACTGAACGGATCTCGATGAAATTTGGTATACATATTAAGAACATATTCTGGAAGAACACATAGACTGCTAGTAATGTTTTTTTAACTCCACGCGGACTGAGTCGCGGGCGACTACAAGTACAGAAAAAATAATTAAGATAATCTTTGAAAGTCATGAATCGAGGTGACATTGTCCGAAATATCGTACGCTTCCAAAGCCGAAACGGTTGCACGATAATATAACTTTATTCCTATTTACCAAAGACAATGAGAGAGATACAAATTTTTATAGTTTATGGCTTATTTTGTATTAATTTAGCAAAAGACTGATTTGGAATTTAATAACATACTTTTTTGACCTTTATGTCTATGAAATATGTATATTTTATTATGTATTCAATCTCAGTAGAGTAAAATGCGCGGGCCGAGATAATGGCATGACTATTACACTGTTACGGTCTCTCTGATGCAATTCTTCACCCACTCACTGTTCAATTTACTGCAAATAGCGACGGAAACAGTCCGGACTTAGATACTGTAAATGTTTTCCATAAAAGGATGGAAAAATATTTTTACAAGGAAATGTTATTTACATCACAATTGTGGTCATGTTTAACGAAGTTCAATTCAAAGAAACGGTATCGAACAGTTCTTATAAATAGAACTTCGTCACATTATAATCACATTAGGCGTTGGTTTTATAATAATTGCTAAGGTTTTTTTTTTTAAATCCCGTTGACTGTAGGGTTATTTTCACAGGATATTCCATTTTTGAAATATGCAGTGACATTCGATATGTATTTTTCCGCGGAACGTTAATAGTCAGTTATCAATTAATTTGATTTTTAAATTTGTTAAGCAAATTAAACTTACACGTCGGACGTATGGTACTTGAGGGTGATGCTTAACGGGCTTGAACAACAAGATGCATCGATCCCAGAACTGAATGCCGCCGAGAGCAGAGATACCCATGTAGAGGAACACGCCAAAGAGTACAGCCATTGGTACCAAACGCAACCAACCGGAGGCTAACACAGATACGCCACACAGTACCGCAACCAGCAATCCAGTCAAACGTTGTTCTAGAAAAAAAAAGACACGAACGATAACATTACAGTCTTGATATTGCTGCTTTATTTCTAAATATATTCAATATATGTTTACTATGGACCAAATAAAGATTTGATATTGATAAGTCTCTGTTGTGTTTAATAAAATATTAGCAATGATATGAAGATACAAAAATGATAACAAAGAACAGAAAGGAAAATTTAATCAGAAATATATTGAGTTTTATGTCAATACTATTAAAGGAATAATAAATGAAAATATAACATATCGAAACATGAGACAATAGATAAATATATAGAGAACGGACTGTTACTAAGGGGCGTTAGTAACTTTCATATGTACCTCACATATTTCAATTGTTGTTCAATTGAGATAATACTCTAATCTGCTGAATCATATATGATATCAATTATTACAGTACGACCGGTTTTAACGAAAATAATTATATTTTTTTAGGATATCTTCCGTCTCATCTAACTTTTACAAATATGCACACTGTATGCTTTTAAAGGACAGAAGTTTTCTGTTTATTTAATATTAAGACCTCATCCAACCCAAGGTATTTATTATTCTGACAAATAAACAGTCTACTATTATGAAGTAAAACCAACTCAAAACTTGTTTTGACCATATATCTACCAACAGGTAGCATCTCTCATAAAACTGTAAGAGCTAGAATGTTAGATTTTATTGATTGTATGTGTATTTATTTTATGGGTACCTTTAACTTCGACAATGTAGGGCTTGTCTCCGGGCGCATGTGTGGTGGACATGACGGTGAGCGCGGCCACGTGGCTAACAGAGCGGACAGTAGCGACGCATTGCCACGGCGCTCCGAACAGACCGCACACAGCATTCACCACCGACATTATCACGATATCCATGTGGAAACCGCTACCCTTCTTCAAGCGACGCTCCGGTTTGTCAATGATCAACCTAATACAAGACTTAAGTTATAACACGACGCACTTTACTTAAAAACACAACAATAATAAATTCGCAAATAATCGCAAGCAAATCGCTCGGCTTCAATATTTCGCTAAAATTGACATCGCTACGCTTGAGATTTATAACAAAGTTAATGTATTATGAGTATACTCATAGAAAACATATAAATGTTTAATTACAGGAGATGAGTTTCATTAAAATTATTAAAAACGTTCTGAATAAACTCATATTCCTGTTTTGAATATGCGCATCAGTAAATAAAAGCTTACTCGGCAATATGCGTTTCCATGAACACGATAATGTAAACCATAAGGGCAGGTAAAGCCATGGCAAAGGCTGCCCAGATGGGGATCGTTTCCAGGCCAGGGTTGAGGGGTACGAGCCACGACCGGTCCGCAGTTGGACTGAGTCCCTCAGGTACTTGCAACTTCTCCGTCCACACCGGCACCAATACCGACACACCGACCATCAGGACGATTGCAATTGGCACGCCGAAGTCTCCCAATGCACGACGAGCCTACAGTTGATAGATAATCAGTTTTAAAATTACAAATTATGAAAACTCGAAGTTAAATTCTAGAACTGTCGAAATTATAGCCCCTTCTACGTCTATCGATATAATTTCGTTTATAAGTGTGAAAATTGTGACAACTTACACTGCGACCGAGGAATTTTCCGTTGCGGAAGATACGAAGGTAGTAGGCGATGATGAAGGTAGAAAGAGTGAGCATAGTACAGAAGAGAGCGGTGTTAGGTTGAGGCGTAATCTTGATGTGTTGCGGTGCCGCTGGCAGGGTTGCATTATCTGCGGATATTACATTCAATAAATATGATAAAATATGACAGGCGATAAAGTCATATTGTACTTAGAACAACTTTTCAGTATTATCACTATACCAGTAAAATTTTTGCATTGCAAATTAGAGATCAATTACATACTATTAAGGGTATTGTTCCCAATAGTTGGTAGTTCCGTAGTAGTGTTGGCACTGTGTTGGCAGTAGTCATAACCGAGGGGATGCGCTCGGTACAAGCTGATCAAGTTTGTGATTGGCTCCGAGATGAAGATCAGGGATATCAGGAATGCAAATATGTCCTCTGTGAATCTATGAAAATTTAAAAATTCAAATTAACAACACTTGATTGACACACCTAGAATTTATATACCTAAAATTAAAAGCATACCTAGTAATCTTCTTAACAGCCACGCTACCTTCAACGGAAGCCACGCAAATAGCAATAACTATCATCCAGATGCCGCAGTACATTCTAGCAGCTAGAAACTCGAACCCGTAGGATCGGCAGAACGTCGCCAGTGATTCGTCAAGTAGTAGCAAAGGACCAGTAGCTCCGGTGATCATCATTGGTTGGCCAGCCAGCAAAGCGAATAATACTCCACCAGCGCACGTGAAAACCTGTATTGATTAGTACTTTTGAGACCAAAACCATCATCAATAAAATAATTATTGACTATTAATGATATGTTTTAGAAATATTTGTATGATATGATGAATTCCATTAAAAGCGAAATCAATTGATTTCTAGACAACTATTTGTGTATCAAAAAATGTTAAAATGACAAAGTACCGTCTGATTTTTTTAATTCTAAAATACAACTTGGTATTAATACGATAGTTTAACCATGATGTTGAGTTTGTTATTACAATAATCTTTAATGTTAGAAACATAGCATAATAGATATGTTGTGAATTACGTATCCAACTTATATATTATGCAATTAAAGTAGCAATACTGAGTACTATTTTTATATTCTAGGTCATAATAATGAAATAATATCAAATGTCAGCCGCGTCCAGCGGTTACAAGCAGTCCGTATATTTTGGTCATTATTATATATTCATTATTTTACTATTAAAGTAAATTTTCAAAGAGAAATATGGCAGGTGATTTTAATTTTATTTTCACACGAAAGATAAAATGAGAATTTTATTACAAAATCGTAGCTTACATTAGAGATTAGGATATTTTAAATCCTAATCAACCTGCCTTTGTCCCCACTGAAGGAACAACAATTTGACAGATGGCAAATGACAGCCCACTCTCGACTCTAGCGCCATCTACCTAGAGCTTTGTTTTTTTTCTCGTAGTAAATTAAGTAAAGATTTTCTTTTGCATATTATAGTATTTGAAAATAACATTTCAAGATGATAGAGGTAATTGAATTTCAACGTTATCGTGAAACATAAAGACTCATATTAATATTAAAACCTTGTAGAGTAAAGGTGCAACTTTCCGTGTCCATTTGAGGTTGACAATTCCATGTCACGGTCAAATATAAAATAAAGGGGGCGGACCGTGAACGTTTACAAGTCATACATGAGTCATTATTACGTATCAACAAATAATACACGTTAATAATTTAATTAATTATTTATGTTCATTATTAAAAGCAGCCGAAAATGTGAAATAGAGTGAGATGTTCCAGGACTACGCCCATTGGAACTGTAATCTCTGCCTACTACTCTGGGTCAAGGCCGTGATCATGTTGTTGTTCTTTAATTACTAGTACAAAAAAAATATATATATAAAAAACAAATAAAAAGGTTTAACATACTATCAAAATGTCCAAAATCATCAGACATCATCAGATCATTTCAAAATTTAGTCGTCGTACATAAACATCTTGTTTCACTAAAGAATGAATATTTGGAACTTTAGTACTTGTTCATATTTACTTATAATTTCAACCTCATGTTTCTGTTTTGTGTCTTGAATAAATAAATAGAAACCGAGCAATGGTATTATTTAACATCTGTGTGTATGTATTTATGTTTAATATCACAGGGCGCAACGGATGCTCAGCAATCAACAACAACAACAGACAAGTCGGTACAGAATTTGTTATATTTATGGAGATGTTGGAGATAAATGTTTGTTTCTAATTAATAAATTGGTGAATATAATTGTTTGATAAATTTCGTTATTTAATTATAAAAAACATTGTATACAACTCAAAAGAGTAAGTTTGAATCGTGATAAGAATTTAAAAATTAAGTTACAGGTGAAAATCTTTGTATTGTAAATCTTTTTGACATCTAACAATTTCGATAAACATCGGTTGCTCTATTTGTTTCCTTTATGTAGATTTAAAACCACAATGTTTTGTTTTTATTTATATACAATTGTAAATACTTTACATAAAACTTACCAAAGTTTCGGATATTCCGATTTTTCCGTTAGTCTTTTCGGCGAGTAAACCACCGAAAGTGATGGCCGACGATAGTGCAGCAAAGTACATGAATATTGTGGCCGCAGCACATTGTCCGTTCAACGCATCTCGGAAATCAGACAAGTAATATGGATAGCGCCGTTTAATATCTCGAATCACACCTGTATACAAAAAAATATAATGAGGTTCATAAAGTTAAAATATGAAATTGTATTTGAGTTATGTTTAAGTGACGTTAATCTTTATCTTACCCCCGAAAATACGACCAGTCTTAGAAAGTGGATCTTCGTATTCCTTTTCCTGCTTTTCTCCAGCTTCCATCGTAATCAGAGTTTGCTTTTCAACGGAGGGAGGCGAGGCCGCTTCGGCGGCGGCTTTCTTACGTTCCAATGCATCACGCTTGCGCCGCCTTATCATTTCACTTTTAGCTCGTAGTTCCTCGAAAGGCAACAGAGCCTGCCTTTCCCAGTCACCAGGTGGCAGCACAATAGAATCATCTAAGAATTCATTGATAGCTGACAGGAGTTCGCGACGATCATCAGCTTTGTAGGCGATGGAATGGAACGACGGATTCGACATCAATGTTGAAATAGAACGACCAACTTCATGGTAGTCAAGGTCGGCAGCAGTCGGACCTAACAGGATGAACATGAATCGAACGGGCACTGGGACTTCGGTGATTGAAGGCATCAAAATTCCTTGCGCAAGACGGACGAACGCGATGGTTGGTTGGTCCAGGAAGCCTACAGCGCCGACGAGAACTGTGGTCGCTTCAGCATCTTCGGGAATACGTTTCATGATGGAATCATTATGTCCACGTCGCAGTTCATCCTGGGAACCGTCTACTCCTGCGGCTACATATTCTATCTCACGTTGATCGAGGCCCGGAGCGGATGTCTTCTTACGTGTCTCGGCACGTTCATGAAGAGGTAAGGCGTAAGAACTTCTACGCCCAAAACGTCGTTCCGACAGGCTCTATATCAATAATACAAATTAAAAAAAAACAAATAGCTTCTGATATCTGGCTGATGTAAAATAATGAGTAACATTTTTAATGTATAACTAATAACTTGTTGTGAGAACAAAAACTTTTTTGAATACTTTTTGCGATAAATCATGTTTGTCAATGAAAAGCAAACACTGCAATAAATAAACGTCTTCCAGGGAAACCTAAAGTTTCTTTCAATTGCAAAAACATCACACGTAATACAATTTATAACAACCTAAAAACAGCAAACAAAGAAAAAAACAAATGATACGAACATGACGGAAGGTGTAATATTTTAAAATAATTGCTACATAACTTACAATGGATGAATTATGACAAGAATTAGTCACTAACTCTACGACGATAAAAATACATTTAAACTAACTTATTGTATCTCAACATGGCAGGCAAGGAGGTTGTTAAAAAAATGACGGTGAATTCTTTTCTAGGATAAGATTTGTCAAATCACTGAACTGAATATGCAAATTCATGCAAAAGTCACGTTCAGGGATCTGAGGAATCGAAATGTATTCAACGATACTGAAAAATGAATACTCTTTCTGACATAAACGAGAGAATACGTGTTTGATGGGGATTTGATGGACACGCATGTGCAATACATAGTGCGTGTATGATCGGTGACAGGCAAAGAGCGCACGCGCATTGAATTCCGTACAAGAATGTGGGCGCTGTGTCGGCGACAGGTGCCGGCGGGGGAGCAATGCGTGCAGCGAATTCGCGCGCCGTTCGCACCACCACCATGCCCCATACCAGGGTCCTCCAGCCACAGCGACTGCACAACATTGCATCTTAACCTCTATACGCCTATGATCATAGCACACGCATCAGTTTTCACTCAAAGGATAGAGATTTTATAAAGCACGACGCAAGCATTTGTTTTTAATTTATTTCAGCTCCAAAAAATCGCACTATCAAAGTATTTTATATAGTACTAGATATTTAAGGAATTTCTTTAATTTAATAACAGGGGTGTGACAAAAACTGATAGCTAAACATACTTAAATGTGTACTAAGATAAAATAATTCCATTATAAAATAGGGTAATTATTGATAATCTTGTCAAAAGATAAGATTGGCTA